GGCAGCAGCTGTGCGCGGTAAAAAAAAAGGCGTGCGCGCGCAGCCGAGGCGCGCGCGGGCAGCAGGCTAGGCAGACACGTATGTAAGGCAGGTAGGCAGGCCGTTGGGGAGGTAACTTAGTACATGGTGGGCCCTTAAGCTTAGGTCTAGGAACCTGCTCTAGATGCCATGTCGAGAGAATCAGGCAAGGTTGGATTGACTATCGAGAGTTTGGTACAAAATAACACAACCCTAAAGTGTTATCCCCTATAACATCTACCCCACTACAGCCTACCAATATATATCACACATATATATCATTTGACAGGGAGGGAGGGAGGGAGGGAGGGAGGGAGGGAGGGAGGGAGGGAGGGAGGGAGGGAGGGAGGGAGGGAGGGAGGGAGGGAGGGAGGGAGGGAGGGGGGGAGGGAGGGAAGGAGGGAGGGAGGGAGGGAGGGAGGGAGGGAGGGAGGGGGGCAGTGAAAGCAGAGGGATTGGTCTTTCTGGGACATCGAAAAAATCAGCCGGCGGTAATGAGGAACGAGAACGGAAAGCAGGTGATGAAGGCTCTTCCACTGGCCTGGCCCTAGAAGGGCTTCATTCGTCAGCAGCATGAACACCATCTCGACTGCTCTGCTGCACTTTTTAGAATTCTCGAGAGTAACATGAACACATCAGGGTTCTTGCACTGGCCTGGCCCTAGAAGGGCTTCATTTGGCTGCATGAACACCATGTGTGGTCTAACACCTTTAGTTCTGAGCTTACAGTTTCAGGCAAGGTGACCACACATAGGCACATACAATCAGCCAGTAACAACACATGCAATGCAACACAGAACAGAAGCTAATCAACTGCAAGTCAGCAGCTCATCCAAATGCGATGGCATCTAGTGTCCCATTCTCCACTATCTCATTCACCACCCCCCTCTTCAGCTTATTCCCCGACTGGTGAAAAACGCACGGGTAAGCCTGAGTCACCTTAGAAAACACCTTGATCTCGGTTCCCGTCCCCTGCACTTCAAACTGCTCGAATCTCCGCCCGCCTAGCAGCTCCATCAGAGCGTTGTAGTGGTCCAGCTTGATAAACGGCGGTGGCGCTGCCTGCCTGGCCGCCTCTAGCTTCTCCGGAGTAACATCCTCTGGAATCAGGTCTTGTAACGGGCCGGGTAGAGAGCATAGGTATTTCAGAGTGCCGGGAGCAGCCTTGAGGGGAGAGGAGGCGATTTGCAATTTCCTGTTTGCGTGAGGGGTTGCTTCAATTGTAGTTGCCAACTCTGTTTGTTGGGACAGAAGTGACTGTATCGAAGTGAAATTCGTTTCAGGGTGAGGCGACCGTGGGAGGGAGTTGAAGAGGTATGGTTGGGTCAAGTAACCAGTGACGAACTGTCGCTGATCCTCCATACAGTCGCTCGTGTACGTCGCGTCGATCATCTCCGATAAAGCCCACGCGTACCCAATATAGGACCCTGCGTTAAGATGCCGATTTGGAAAAGGAGACCCCAGCTTGTGCGGGTAAAACGGGATGGCTTGTGCTGTCGGGTAGGCAAAATATTCTGCTCCAAAAACGACAGGAGCGTTTAGTGAAAGGAATGCTTTGACGAGCTGATCTGGTCCGCAAAGCTCTCGATTTGGCAGGAGCAAGACGTCGTCCGCGTCTGTTACAATCACAATCCGATCACGCGGGAGAGTCCTCAAATATTCCCGATAGTATCTCACTCGCGCGCCAAGTCCCTTCCACGTCTCGTTCAGACCAAGCACCGCAAACGGAACTCCCACCATGTCGCAAAACTTAGCTAAGCGTTGAACGCCTTTCCCACACCGGGTGGAGAAAGTTATCCATTCTATCTTGCAGCCAGAGTGAGTGAATGAAGAGGTGGGCTTTATATCGCGAGCGTCAACACTGGAATCATACAAGACTCGGCAACCGTCTCTTTCCGACATGTCTGCTCCTAAATCTGCACCTAAATTAGTTTCCACTTTGCTGCTGCTGCCGCTGGTGCTGCTGCGGTGATGGTAATGAAATCTGCTTCCCTTTTCGAAGCCTGATTTCCCGCGTATGGCTGCTGCGTTCACCAAATCGGAGCACGCAATTCCGCGGAAAAACGGCATGCTGTGCATTCCCTTGTACGCTAGGCCAACTCCAACGCACGAGTCCAAGGAATCGCGAAAGGCTGCGACACCGGGACTCGCGCCGGACGAGAATTTGTACACCCAAACTAGCAGCATCCCGAACGCCATAGTTGCCAGAAAAGACACTTGGAAGGCCCTCTTCGCGACGAACCAGAGCGATGACAGCCAGGAGACGTCGAGAGGCAAGTCGTGGTCTATCACGAACAAATTACTAAGACATGGAAAAGAGATTCGGCCTGGCGCGCTTCGTCGTCCAGTTCGGCTCCACACTGCACTCGCCATTTCTCTCACGCGGCAATCCCTGCGAAAGTACCCGATCGAGTGTACAACTTTGGAATATTGGATCTCTTTTTCAAGGGATGCAGTTTTTTGTAGTAGAGTAATGCGGCTCGAGAGGATTCATACAGGTATCTAAAACTTGAAGTGTGTGCACAGGCAATGCGGGCTATCTGTTGTCAGACTGGAAAGACTTTAGTGAAGCCGCTGGGCTAATCCGTTCGAAGGAAGACTTCACTGAAAGTCTAAACGAACGATCAAAATCCGGTTTAGTGAGTCGTCAGAGTCGTGTGGGAAAATCGCCAGACCTGACGTTTTGGCGATTAGGGCGTGGAACCGCCAGAACCCGAGATGGTAACCACGTTCGCTGAAACCCGAATTGCCCGTGGCGACGACTGCCGGAAGCGCAATCCGGATTTTGGTTACCACAACTGCTTGTTCCACGCTCTTACTCGTATTTCTACCGCGGAATCATAGATTGTCATAACTCGCGGACGGTTGAGTCTCTCAAGTCTGCTGACGCTCATGGAGGGATGACAGACCTAGGGTGACTTCGGATTAATCTTGTATCATACACTGCAGTGGCCGGCCAGAGATGCCGCTGCGAATAGGGTGGCGGTGGAAGGGAAGGATTTGGAGGCCTGAGGTTGCCAAGCGCGAAAAGTAGCGAGTTTTTTTGGCGGGAAGATGGTGAGAGAAGATCCTCCACGCTATATTATTGTCGAGAGTGGGATTTGAACCCACGCGTACAGTCTGAAACTTTTGTAGCAACCCAAATCGCAGCGTTGTCATGCGACGTATGTCGAATGACGTCGCAGGGCGTGGGTTCAATGGCAGCTTTGTCATGCGACGTTTGTCAAACCCTACACTGCTGTACCTTCCAGCCTGCGACATTTGTCAAATGAGTCGTTGGGCTTTGGTTGACTCCAACGAACAAGTCCCTCCGACTCAGCGTTTTCTCTCGCCCCCCGCCCCCCCCCCCCCCCCCGCCAACCGTCTCCCCACCCCCGCCAACTAACTAGCGAGCTTTACCACAAATCGCCATTCACCAAGCTAACTAAATAGTAGCGTCACCGTCCATTCCGCCGCGCCCCTACTAGGAATAGTATTCGCGGGGGCTCTGGCTCGGGATACTGTACTACAGCCTGAGACTGTATACAGTATGTACGATGCACGACGATGTCTCCTTTCTTGTCGTAATTCACCCCGACGTAGTTCTAGTTCTTGGAGATCTATCCAGGTCACGCAAGGTCTGTAACCCCGTACCCCAAGAACGTGCAGCGTTTGACTTGGAAAGACTCATCCGCGAGTTGCGAAAATCTCATTCCGTGGCGGAATCGCCAAAACTTTAGGTCTGCCGATGATATTTCCGCGCCAGAAAATGTCATCCATGGCGGAAATAATCATCGCCAAAACGTTAGGGTCTGGAGGCTACACTGAAAGTCGCAGGCGGCCTGCGATTTCTTCCCGCCAGGATTTCGAAATAAAATCCCGTACAGAATCGTCAGCTCTAAGCGAATGTTGTTTAACGATACATCCAACCTGCCCTAGTTGTCGGTGCGACCGACAATATGTTGTGAGCGAGAACCCCCTCCCCGAGTGTGTGTGCAACGGTAACTCCTCCGCCGCGTCGCCGATTCTGAACCCGGACCACCTATCGGTGGCCCCCAGGCATGGATTTGGCTTGCGGCGCTACTGAAAGCGCGGCAATCCGAAGGGGTGTATTTTATGGCAGTTTTCTGGTATCAAGCCAGGGATTTCGTACTGACTTAGGTTCCATTTTCTTGCTTGTTACGTTACAGCTACTAGCTGTAGTGCCTGCCACTAGTCGTGCCAGATTGATACAAACTATAGACATTTCGTACTACAATGGCCGCAGGGTCTGCCAGGCTCAGTCTACTACCCTCCCGCTTGCAGTTTCTGTCTCTGTTCTGCTGTGTAGCTAAGGGAGCCTCAGTCGTAACTGTCACCGCCGCCGCCTCGTTAGCGCTGCTGATGCTCTGGCTGTATCATTTCTCCTCCCGCGTGAGCCCAGATGCCATGGCGGTTCGCGATTACTTAGACTCGTGTGTCGGCGTGGGTGTTGCGTATCGTGGCATTCACACTGGCACGTCGTTTTTCCGCGGTATTGCATGCTCCGATGTGGTGAACGCTGCTGCTGTTCGCGGTAAAGCAGGCTTTGAAAGCGGAAAAAGAACTCGTTACCAGCCCATCATGCAGCAGCAGCAGAGTGGTTATGACAGCAGCAGCGGCAGCAGCAGCAGCAGCAGCAGCAGCAGCAGCAGCAGCAGCAGCAGCAGCAGCAGCAGCTCCAGCAAACTTGGCAGTATCAGGGGGCGCAAAGTTGCGGCTGCCGATCCAAGATCATCCAGGGGGGAAATCTCCAATCCAGGGACAGAGCGTTACCTTACAAGTTACCTTACAAGCAGTAGTAGCAGTGAGGGAGCGGGAGACAATGGGGGAAAGGATGGTTGCCGAGTCACATATGACCCCACAGTAGATCCTCGCGACTTAAAGCCAACGTCAGCTTTCACCTACTCCAACTGCAGCATCGAATGGATCACTTTCTCCACCCGGTGTGGAAAAGGCGTTCAGCGCTTAGCTAAGTTCTGCGAGATGAACGGGATTCAGCTTGCGGTGCTGGGTTTGAATGAGACCTGGCAGGGCCTAGGCGGTCGTGTGAGATACTATCGAGAGTACCTAAGGACACTGCCAAAAGACCGAATTGTGATTGTAACAGATGCTGATGACGTCTTGCTGCTGCCAAACAGGCAGCTATGCGGACCAGATTTGCTAATAAAAGCGTTTCTGTCTCTTAACGCTCCTATCGTCTTCGGAGCTGAGATGTTCGCCTATCCAACGGGTGACGTCATCCCCTTCTACCCTCAGAAGCTGAGATCTCCCTTTCCAAATCGGCACGTCAACGCAGGGTCATATGTTGGGTACGCGTGGGCTCTCGGCGAAATGATGGATGCGACGTATACGACTGACTGTATGGAGGATCAGCGGCAATTTGTGGCTGCGTATTTGGCCCAGCCGTTCCTATTCAACTCCCTCCCACGGACGCCGTACCCAGACCCAGTAACAGACAGCCAGGGAGGTAGCAAGCCAACCAACAAAGACTTGGTTACTAAATATGATTCTTCTTTAACCCCATCTGCTGCTCCTGCACCAGGCATGCTGCGATATTTCTGCTCTCTTCCTGGACCGGTGCAGGCCCTGATTCCTCAAAACGTCACCCCAGCAGTATTAGAAGAAGCCAGGCAGGCAGCGCCGCCGCCGTTTATCAAGCTGGACCACTACAATGCTCTGATAGAGCTGCTGGGCGGGCGGAGGTCGGAACAATATGAGGTGCAAGGGACTGGTGTGGAGATCAAGGTGTATTCGAAGGTGACCAAGGCGTACCCATGCGTTTTCCACCAGTCGGGGGATAAGACGGCGAGCGGGGTGGTGTATGAGATAGTGGGGAATGGGACCCTGGATGCTATCGCATTTGAAGGGATGGATTTACAGTAGTTGGGCTTTGGTAAATGACAAACAACCCAAGTAGTGTTTTGTCAAGATTCTATTAGATTATGTAAGTGTTCTAGAAACAAGTGTGCAGGATTCAGTCTTCCCAAAGAACAGGTATAGTTGGGCTGGTCTCTTTGGTACCACCCACCCTCCTTATAGGTTTATCTACCAAGGTTGATACATGCACGGTACATCTTTTGCATAGAAATACCGTTTTTCGTAGGAAAATCACTTCTGAGAATTCTCAAAAGTGATTTCGAAATACCGTTTTTCATTGGGGAAACAATAACTTCAGGCAGCAATCTCTTCCCTCAAGGCACTGGCGCTGCTTCCAGCTCCGGCTGCTCTTCTGCGCTGAACGTCCCAATTGTGCACCCTCGCTACAGTCACCTGCGATACAAAGGAGAGGAGAAAAACAGGATTACGGTTTCTGGTAACAGTATATACCCGCGATTGGGACAGCACATGCAATGAAGAAAACACTGTTAAAGAAGTTCAAACAGGGCGCCTTGCACCAAACATAACTGTATAGCCTTGCTATAGTCACACTACAGAGCATCCTCACATTGAAAAAGAACTGCTGTGCGCATCCACTTGTGTACTCCGAATACATGCACCGGTACCACTAGACGTTATAATACGGAGATAACGATGTTTTTGCCATCACATATCATAATATGCTGATATTGTGTGTACGGTCATTGGTACCACAAGATGTGATGTCATCAAAGTACCATATGTGTAATATGTACCAAATGTACCATTTGTACCATCAACCGTGAGAATAAGGAGATTGCTGTAACAAGATGGAGATACTGTATGCACCTCTGTGATGATGTGGAGACCAGATGTGATGATGTGGAGACCAGATACGATAACATGGATGCAATATCTCACCTCAGTGATGTTGATTTGATCGCGCACGAAAAGAAGGTCACCATCGATGGCAGCGAGGCTGCTCGTGGCGTTCTCCTCATTGCGCGCCAGCAGAGCCAGAGCCTGGGTGAAATTGGGGTGGAATTGGGGTGGAATTGGGGTGGGATTGAAAGACAGCAAGTGAACTGAACACAAGCACAAGAGAAGTATCAAACTGTCTATTGATCGAATCCTACTCACTGCTACAGCGCCATCTTAGGTGACATCATCACATGCTGCCATCATCATCAAATGCTGACATCATCAAAGGGTCCACTCCCACCCCATCATCGCCATGTGCTAGCATCTCCAGGTCCTTTAGGCGCCCTTAGAAATAGCATCACTGCCACATCGAAACCTCATCAATCGCATGATGCCATCACATGGTGACGTCATGCTGCCATCACATGATGACGTCATGCTGCCATCACATGATGACGTCATGATGCCATCACATCACATTCTCCACATCATCACGTTTCCCTTGCGCCACCAGCCACACAGCCACACCGAGTCGGCATCTGTTACGAGTGAATATGAATGTTGTTTCTATCAATCGTGCGCAATAATGCTGCCATCAAACGACATGCTGCCATCAAACGACACGCAGCTGGCATGATGCTGAACTCACTGAAAGAGCCTTTGACCATCACGCTCGCCCCCAGCCACACAGCCACACCGAGTCCGCATCCTTAGCTGCTTTGCATCACACATGCATTGCATGCATGCACTCACTCACGCATGTGCATTCTTACCTGCTTGTTTCCAAGCTTTCCTCTGTGCTGACTGCCTGCACAAGCTGACATCACATGTTCTAATCATGCTGACCGCATGCTGACATCACGCTGACATCATGCTGGCATCATGCTGACCTCATACAAGGGTATTCCACCATGACGTTCGCCCCCAGCCACAGGCACACCGAGTCCATGCTCACTAAGGGGTATGCTCATTATCCTTCACGTCACTCTGTTCTCTGCTTAGTGAGCCATAATGCTGACATCACATGCTGACATCATGCTGACATCATGCTGACACAGCGCTGACCTCATCAAAAGGGTATTCCACCATGACATTCGCCCCCAGCCACAGGCACACCGAGCCTGCATCCTTCACATCTGCTCGAGCGAACACCCCATCCGCCAACACGTAGTCCAAACGCACTTGCTGCCCGCAGGAGAAAGGTAAGGGGCAGTAAGGAAGTTAACCCTTGAGCTAAGAGGAGGATGTGAAGCATCCTTCCCGCCTGCTTGGGCAAACACGCCATCAGCCAACACATAGTCCAGCCGCACTTGCTGCGATCAACAGGAAAAGGGAAGAGGAGAAGGGAAGAGGAGAAGGGAAGAGGAGAAGCGGACCAAGTTAACCGTCAGAGCATAACGCACAAGCATCCTTCACGTCTGCTCGGGCGAACACCCCATCCATGGGCCAACACATAGTCCAAACGCACTAGCTGCCAGCAGGAAAAGAGGGGAGGAAAGGAAGTGAGCTCAGTCAACTGTGCAACATTCCGCATCCTTCGCGTCTCCTCACGCAGGCAAACTCCCCGTCGGCCCACATATATTCCATTCCAGCCGCATTTGCTGCCAGCAGGAGAGGGGAGCGGAGGGGAGCGGAGGGGAGCGGAGGGGAGCGGAGGGGAGGAAGAGAAGTGCAAGTGAAACCTCTAGGCATCCTTCACGTTTGCTCGGGCATCCTTCACGTTTGCTCGGGCATCCTTCACGTTTGCTCGGGCAACCTTCACGTTTGCTCGGGCATCCTTCACGTTTGCTCGGGCATCCTTCACGTTTGCTCGGGCATCCTTCACGTTTGCTCGGGCATCCTTCACGTTTGCTCGGGCATCCTTCACGTTTGCTCGGGCATCCTTCACGTTTGCTCGGGCATCCTTCACGTTTGCTCGGGCAAACATCCCATTGGCCAACACATAGTCCAAACGGACTTGCTGCCATCAGGGGGTTGAGTCGACTCAGAGGTTATTTAGTCGATTCAAAAGCACATGAGCAACCAGCCCGGCCCGGCCCGGCCCGGCCCGACCCAACCCGACCTGGCCGGGCCACACGGGCTCCCGGGTCGGGTTGGGTCGGGTCGGGTCGGGTCGGGCCAGGTTGGGCCGGGCTCGGGCCAGGGTCCTGAAGGTTCTGGCCCGACCCGGGCCTACACACTCGGGTCAACTTGGACCCGGGTACGGGTCGGGTCGGGTCGGGCCAGGATGACCCGCCCATACCCTGGCGCCAGCACCTTGCCCGTGGCCACCCCTACACCGTGCACGCGGCCCCTAAGAACCTCTACGAAATCGAAGAAGTGTTTTGAGACGTCTCAATGCACGCGGCCCCTAAGAACCTCTACGAAATTGTGCAAAGTTAGTTGCTGGCGCGCCTATGAGCAACTGCTGGCCTAAAACAAGGCGTGCAGCCTGTGAATTGAAGTATCGCTAAAAAAAAAGCGCAAAGTTGTAAAAAAAACGCCACTCCTGCATGGCGATTTTCCGTTAACAGCAGGATACGATAGTAAACAGCTATACATGTCTGTCAATGCGGTTTGAACGGGTTGTAACTAAGTAGTTTCTAAGCTTAGGTGACTTGCTTGCTTGCTGCCGTTAGGCAAGATTGAGAGCATGGGTAGGTTCTGATGTCGAGGGGATAAAGAACCCCTCGACAACAATTTGACCTAGGGTTTCGTCCCCAGTGTGTCAAAATCGGATCGGGCCAAAAGCCCAACCCGATTTCCCTGGTCCTGACCCGAATTCGGGTCGGGTCAAGCCGGCCCGACCCGCGCGGGGCAAATTCTCATCTCTCGTAGTCCAAACAGACTTGCTCCCAGGAGGAGGAGAGGGGAGGGGAGGAAGTGAGCTCAGTCAAATGTGCAACATTCCGCATCCTTCACGTCTGCACGGTCAAACACCCCATCGGGCAGCACATAGTTCAAACACACTCGCTGCCAATAGGAGAGGGGAGGACAGCAACGGCTTTTGAGGCGCCGTCTTGAGACGTGTTTTGAAACATCTCAGAACACGCTTTTGAGGCGCCTCGATATTGCCGCCCTGAGAAGAGAGGAGGAGAGGAATGGACATAAGGTCATGAGAAGAGACAGAGCATGGAAAAGACGGGTCATGGAAAAGATGGATCATGGAAAAGAGGGATCATGGAAAAGATGGATCATGGAAAAGACGGATCATGGAAAAGATGGATCATGGAAAAGATGGATCATGGAAAAGATGGATCATGGAAAAGACGGATCATAGAAAAGATGGATCATGGAAAAGATGGATCATGGAAAAGACGGATCATGGAAAAGACGGATCATGGAAAAGACGGATCATGGAAAAGACGGATCTTGGAAAAGACGGATCTCAACTTGCATTTGGGCATAAGAATCCGGATATGAAAATTTGCATGCGTATCAGAGCATGTACGCACCGATCCGCATAGGGTTATCTCCTCCCTTTCCTTCACTAGCAACTGCACCGCACCATCTGTGAGGGAACACCAAGGACTCCACGGAGAGCGTTTCCCCTCCCTTTTTGTCGGTATCAGAGTGTGGAGCGTGATAGCGAGGAGCATGAGAGCGTGCATCTATCTACGAACCAAACCACCCTACCTGCATCTCCTCTCTTTTCTTCACCAGCAACTGCACCAACTGCAAGTGAACATCATGACATGCACGATTCCTCTCTCCTCTTCATCTTCAGAGCGAGTAAGCTCTCACAAATCAGCCCGCGCTACTTGCTTCGCCTCTCGTCTCCACCAGCGTCTGCACACCAATTCCTGTATGTAAAACGCCTCTGCTATCCTCTCTCACAAATCAACCCGCCCTATCTTGCTTGCTTCTCCTATCGTTTTCACCAGCGTCTGCACAATCTCTTGGCTCTGATTCAAGTTCATGCCAGACCACTTCCTGCATATAAAACGCCTCTGCTATCCTCTCACCATCTGTTACATTCAGATGCATGCACCGTCTGCACCATCTGTTACATTCAGATGCATGCACCGTCTGCACCATCTGTTCCATTCAGATGCATGCACCGTCTGCACCATCTGCGAGTGAACCTTACATTCAGATGCATGCACCTACCTGTTTTTCTTCCCGTTTCTTCACCAGCGTCTGCACAATCTCTTGGCTCTTCTTGATGTCTGGCAACTTTGACTGGTGGGAGGAGAAGGGGAGGGGAGGGGAGGGGACAGAATGGGAGGGGAGGGGGGGGGAGGGGAAAAAGGGGAAGATGATGAAAGATGAGGGCATGAGGAAAGGAAGAGAAGCTGTGCGTCTGCTCAATCTCCTGGCTCTTCTTTATGTCTGGCAGCTTTGACTGGTGGGAAGGGACGAGAAGGAAGGGAAGGGAAGGCAAGTTAAGGGAAGGAAAGGTAGTGGAAGGGAAGGAAAAGAAGGGAAGAGAGCTTTATATATATAATATATATAAATACACACACCCACACACACACACACACACACACACACACACACACACACACACACACACACACACACACACACAACGAGAAAAGCAAGGAGTAGTGCAGAGGAAACAAGGAGAAGCAACCTGCGGATTGATTTGGAGGGTCCTATGGAGGAGAAAGAGAGGGCCTTAGCAGCAGCAGCTGTAAGACCTTCCAAATCAACCCGCAGCTGTGCTGCTTTAGCAGCACAGCAGTGCTCCTCTCGCACTCAGCAACACTCCTCGCCAACCATGCCTACCATGCCTGACAAGCCTGACATGCCTGACAGGCCTGACATGCCTGACATGCCTGACATGCCTGACATGTCTGACATGCCTGACATGCCTGACATGCCTGACATGCCTGACATGCCTGACATGCCTGACATGCCTGACATGCCTGACATGCCTGACATGCCTACAGCTCCCGTGCGAGGGCGGCTATCTGTGAGTCCTTCACCACTGACTGTACTTTGACCACTCATTTCGCCTGCTGCCAGGCCGCCACCAGCTAAACCTAGGGATGAGCACGGGTCAGGTCGGGTTCGGCCCTGGTTGAACTGGGCCAGCCTGGGTTCGGCCCTGGTTGAACTGGGCCAACCTGGGTTCGGCCCTGGTTGAACTGGGCCAGCCTGGGTTCGGCCCTGGTTGAACTGGGCCAGCCTGGGTTCGGCCCTGGTTGGCCCAGCCCGAGCCAAACCCTTTTCGGCCCGACCCGAGCCAGCCCAGGCAAGCCCATGGTAACCTACATGATAGTCACATTGTTGCGAAATAGCGTTTGTGCCCGATTTTTGCAAGGGACAGTTGTCAAAACGGTTCCTGCATTCTATATCAGTATGTATGTGGTCCAGATTACGGCATGCCTTAGCCAAATGTCTTACATTCCGACTTGGAACTAAATAAAAACGGTAGAAACGACTGCTTGGTAGTACTAGGACATATAGTGGATAAGGGCAGCCTGGTAAGCGCAGGAACTTGGAGATCCAAACTGTTGGTTTGAGACGTCTCAAAACAACACTTTTTATCACTTGGAGATTGAAACTGAGCTCCAAGATCCGGTCGGAAGGGACAAAAAGGACTCGGGCCATTTCGGCCCAACCCGGGTCATTTCGGCTCAACCCGGGCCATTTCGGCTCAACCCAGACCATTTCGGCTCGACCCGGGCCGCGATGCGTGGCAGGCCATTTTGGCCCGACCCCTAACCGAGGGCCGAAACAGGGCGGGCGGAGCAGATGCCAATTCAGAGGTTCGGCCTGGGTGTCATACGAACCAGTCTGACCCAGACCAGACCAGCCTGCTCATTCCTAGCTTAAGCATACCGGATGCTTAGGCATCGTTCATATGCTAATGCATACTGGAAATCTCTCTTCTGAGCGAGCGCATACCTGTAGATCCCTCTTCTGGGTGAGCAGCTTGATTTCCAGCAGCTTGTATTGCTGCATCCTGACAGGTGGGGATGGGTGGAGTGCGGTGAGATGCAGAGAGGAACAGTGAGAGAAGGGATGAAAGACACTCTTTTTGAAATATCGATTGCCCAGAGAACAACACAAGGAACGCAGTAGCAGAAGAGGCAATAACAGACAATAACAGGAAAGGCACTGACAACAGGGGCAACAGCAGCAGATGCAATAATGAAAAGATGATTCTATGGTACCAGCGAAAGGCGCAAATCCAGTGCCAACGAAACAATGGCATGAATTGTGTACCAATGAAACCACAAGACCGCAAAAGGATGGTGCGATTCGAGACCCATGGAATGACGGAGGGAAGCGGTGAAGAGCGATGGAGAGCGGCGGAGAGCGGAGGAGAGCGGCGGAGATCGGCGGAGAGCAGAACAGAGCGGAGGAGAGTGGTCGAGCGGTGATTTCGAGACACGTGGAACGACGGAGGAGAGCGGAGGAGAGCGGTGGAGAGCGGCGGAGCGGAGAGCGGCGGAGAGAGGAAGAGAGCGGTCGAGCTGCGAAACAACACGGATCCAAATCCGAACGTCGATCACCTCTCCTCCAGCGATTGGATGACAGCTGGCGCTTCTCTGCCCGCCAGAAACGCCTCCACGTCAGCAACAAACTGCGCCACTGGAATGCCACGTCGGTGCTGCTCGCCGTCAGACGCGGTATTTCCGGTGCTATCCGCGGCGGGCTTATCGATCTCCATTACTCGCAAACTCGCGACGCGGGTTTTGACTCGTCTAAGACGTGACTCGCTGTAAAGCAGCGGATTCTTGTCCCGCTATTGAATCCACGCTAAATGCTGCCTAATCCTTTGTTGTTAGACGCTCGAAGGTATCAAGAATTAGTGTCGGCGTTCAGGTGATGCGTTCAGGTATCAAGGGCGTGTGTCTGGACTGGAACAATCAGAAGATGCGTCGCTGTGGCCTGCCGTGCTACTCCCTGAGAAAAGAAAGGCACGAAACTCGCTAACAAAAATTCGCTATGACCTTGAAAGTCATTAAGTAGATTCTAGTGAATGACAGATACTTGGTAAGAAACTTCCCTAAGGGCATTTTTGAGTGCAAATCACGATCTGCATGTCACTGAGCCTAATAATATGAACACCTATATTTCACTCCCAATCACCCCGTGAGTTATTTCATCCCGTGAATTGCCATGTTCAAAGCACACTAAAATTTGACAGACCTTTGGAACGACTAGCTTGCATGAGTTGTGCTAGACAGCAGCAGCAATTGATACAGCAAGTGTTATAGCAAGTTATTATGGCATGTGACATTAATAACAGGCCAACAACCTGCTTGAATGTTTTTTGAGTAAATGATTCCACCAATGACAACAACAATCACAATTCCTCATGTAGTTTGCCGCTGCCCGTGCTGCCCGAAGCCCCAAAAGTCTTCCGAACCACATCCTTCTGGTCCTCTGAGAGCGACTTGGGGAAGTCTACAGTGAACTGCACATAGAGATCGCCCTTTTTGGTGGTGTCATAAATCGGCATGCCCTCGCCCTTTATTTTCCGCACCTCCCCTGGCCGTGTGACACCCTGCAAGGGAGGTGATTATATAGGGGGGAGAGGGTTGGGGTGGGGTGTGGAAAGGGGGAGGAGACCAGGGGTGAAGGAGAAAATGAGGGGAGGACGAGACTGGGGAAGTCTTCAGTGAACTGCACGTAGAGGAATCCTTTATTGGCGATGGGGGAGTGTGGGAGTAAGGCAGTGAGGGAATGGAGTGTGTGGCTTCTGAGTAGACTCACAAGTCCCCACATTGAGCACTGGCAGATATTTATATGCCTGGTTACAGTTACACATACCGATCCTGGTTACACTTACGGAGGTGCCGACTTCCACCTGGTGGTTGTCGAGGTGGGTGATGGAATGAGAGTGAGTGACAGAGGTGCTGATAAAGGTAGCACTTACCAAAGTGCCGACTTCCACCAGGTGGTTGTCGAGGTGGGTGATAGAGTGAGAGCGAGCGATACAGTGAGGGGGGACAGAGGTGCTGATAAAGGTAGTACTTACCGAGGTGCCGACTTCCACGAGATGCTTGTCAAGATGAGTGATGGAGTGCTTGAAGCCCACGAGAGCATCCACCTGCCGGCATGGGATTGGGAGGGCAGGAGAGGAGGAGCAAAAGGAAACACGAACATCGGAGCAAGAAATGGAAGCACATGGGAGTGGAAGAGATGTGGGCGAGGCAACACAGGAATCGGAGAAAGAGGTTGTCGAGGTGAGAGATGGAGTGCTTGAAGCCCACGAGAGCATCCAGCTGCCGGCATGGGAGTGGGAGAGCAGGAGAGGAGGAGAGTGGAGCATAAGGCAATGCAGGGCTGGGAGCAAGGGCTCGTCGAGGTGAGTGATGGAATTCTTGAACCCACAAGAGCATCCACCTGCCGGCATGAGTTGAAAGGACGCATAAGGGGGTATTCAAAGGCATAATGGAAATATGGGAACACAGGGGGGGCACATGAGGGTAGCGAGAGTGGGAGTACGTGTCATTGCGTCATGACGGTCAGTCATTGGTCGGACAGTAAACATGGAAGAAAGTTAGGCTTGACTGGACCAAGAGAAAAAGGGGCAGGAACTTTTACATAAATAGAAGGATGACGTAACAGCCCCCTTAAAAAACGTGGCAGGGATTATACAAGGCCAAGGGAGCAGGCCTGCTTTTGACGCCATGTTGTGTGAAGACGAACAAGAACGATGGTGTGAGGTTCAGGTGACAACGTACAGGAGACATACAGACACAGTCGAGAACAAAAAGTGGTGCTAAGACGTACGAGAGAGATGGTGAGGTTCATGTGAAGGTCGTCCCCTCTCCGTTCAAACTGCTTGTGCGGCCGCGTCCTAATCACCAACTGCAAGGTGTGACACGCACGGTATGACACACAAGACATGACACCCAGGCATGGCATGCAAGGCATGACACACAAGGCGCGACAAGCGAGGTACGAAGATGCACAATACAAGGCGAGCATAAAGGAGGGCACTGGTACCACTCAAACAACTGCTTGTCGAGTCTACACGGCTTATCTCTTCAAAGAGTGGGAAACGGGAGGGTTGGGGGGGGACCAGAGGAGGGACAAAGGAGGGGGGGGGGACGAAGATTGGGAGAAAGACGTGGAGGGCAAAATTGTTGGGGACTAGGATCTGTGGAAGAAACCAAAAAGCAAGACAAAACGATGGGGAGAAAAATGGTGGCCCAAAGCGCGGTGGGGAAGGAATCGGAAGAGCGGGAAGGAAGTGTGCGTGAGTGTGGGGGAGGGGGGATTGCAAGCGGGTGAGTGTGAGTGAGGGAGGGTGGCGGCAGAGCATGGGAGAAAGGCGCACACCTTGAGGTCACCAGGGTCGCCATCCATCACGGGCTCTCCCTCCTCGTAAAAGGTGATCTCCTGCACGCACACAGACAGACATACGTTGAGGGGATACACGGCGAACGGATACATGATGTGATGGTAGTGAGGTTCACTCAGTGGGCCGCCATCCATAACGGGCTCTCCCTCCTCATAAAAGGCGAGTTCTTGCAGGTAGACGGGTGGAATCAGCCACGTGTTAAAAAGAAGTGTTTGAAACGTCTCAATACACTTCTTTTATCACGTTGCCATCCATAGCGGGCTCTCCCTCATAAGGCGGGCGTGATGTACGATACAAACGAATGAGACAGCAAGGCCAACTGCGAGAAATGGCTTGGATTCCTGAGGTGCCTCAAGTGTAGTCTATTTTGTATGAAGTGAAGGAGGTGAGGAGGCATGGCAGTTGAAACACACAAAGTAGAAGCACTTTTAGTTTCATGTTGCATTTTTTTTTTTTTTTTTTTTAAGAAGATGTTCGTAATAGGGAAAGGTGGGAACATTTTTTTATTTCAAGAGGCTGATACCAAACGCGTCTAACAGGGCTGCAGTTGATATGAGAGTGATGGACATACTCAGCAAGTACCCATCTCCATGTCTCCCCGATTCCGTCCTGCAATTCGTTTCCTGCCCAGTGCCCAGCTGCTTGGATGCTTCATGCTCGTAGGCCCAAATGTTATTTTCCCGCCCTTCCCTCACTTGCCCCAGTATCCCTAACCGTCTCACCTGCCCATGAGCATCACTGCTCTCACCTGCCCGTCCTTCATGCCCTTCTCGATGTCCACGTCGATGGGCATGCCCTCGCGCTCGTACTTCACGTTCGGGCACTCCTGGCATTCCTGTGGGCACAGAATGTACGGAGCATGGCACAAGGAAAGAGGTATGAGTATACAACTAATGCCCATGTTGATGGGCATGCCCTCGCGCTCGTACTTCACGTTCGGGCACTCCTGGCATTCCTGTAAGGTACAGAATGGATGTTTCATGGCACAAGGAAGGAAGGATGACAGCAGGAGAATGACAGGAGGGATGAATGGCTGTTGAATAAGAATGCCCATACTATGGATGTGAATTCCTCCAACTAACCTATAGTATGCACCCGCCCACCCACGTTATACAGGCTCCCACCCATATACCCACCGGCTACCAGAACTGCTGGAACATGGTTAAGTGTTCCAGGGCGATCTGCCTCGTCACGATTCTCTCTACCTGCATGCGCACAGATGCGTTTGTGTGGACCCAGACACACACCCTGATGCGCACATGCCGGTTCATCTCTCTCTGCACGCACATTGACTGATGCGTTTTTGTGACCTCCTGGAACATGCCTGGGGCGATCTGCCTCGACACCATCCGCGCCTTGCAGTTTCAATTGCAATGTTGCGCCTCTATGGCACCAACCGTTCTCTTGACATCCGCCCACCTGTTCACAGCACCCACCCACCTATTAGAGGCACCCACCTACGCACCCCTTCTGTGCAGCCCATCCACCCACATGCTGTGTCAACTGCTGGAACATGCCTGGGGCGATCTGCCTCGTCACCATCCTCTCTCCCTGCACGTGCATGCAATTGCTGCTCGTGTGAACCCACTCACACACCAGCTGCCCCCTTAGTGCACCAACCCACCCAACCACCTGCTGCGTAAACTGCTGGAACATGCCCGGGGCAATCTGCCTCGTCACCATGCGCGCCTTGCAGTTGCACTTGCGCTTGCCGGGCGCCGATCGCACCACGTTCTTGTCACGCCACACCTGTGGGGGGGGGCAGGCAAGGCAAGCACACGGAGTGGAGAAGGTGAGGAAAGTGGGACGAGTCGGCTCAATTCATGCTTGCCTTACGCTGATTGCACCACATTACTTATCATGCCACACATGTGGGGAAGTAGATGGAGAGGAGCTGCCACACATGTGGGGAAGTAGAAGGAGAGGAGCCCGAGGGAAGAAAGGGCAAGGATGGGAAAATGAACGTTCGAGTGATTCAGCTCCATCATTGCTTTCCGGAAAACCAGGGGCACACCTCTTTTCTGCCCCATTAGAGGGCGCCTTAGAACGGAAACATTCTGTTCTAATGGGACCCACCTGGAACAACCTGCCATTGTACAGGTCTTCTAGCGACGCCTTTAGGTCCACACAGAGAGATAAAAACCACTTCACATTCCACCCAGACACACAGAGAGTTACAGGCCTTGTCATGTTATACCCACCTGGAACGACCTGCCATTGTACAGGTCTTCCAGCGACGCCTCCAGGTCCACTGTGACTGTATCTCCCTTGGGGGTCTGCTCTTCCTCCTCCTGCTGCTGCCCGAAACCCCCGAACCCGCCAAAGAACCTGCCATGGAGAAGCAGTGGCACAAGGAACATTTCTTTTTCACAGTGCGGGTGTTTTATGTAGGTCTTCTGATGATGCCTCAAGGTCCACTGTGACGGCATCTCCCTTGGGGGTCTGCTCCTCCTCCTGCTGCTGCCCGAAACCCCTGAACCCGCCAAAGAACCTGCCATGGAAAAGCAGTGGCACAAGGAACATTTCTTTTTCACAGTGCGGATGTTTTATGTAGGTCTTCTGATGATGCCTCAAGGTCCACTGTGACGGCATCTCCCTTGGGGGTCTGCTCCTCCTCCTGCTGCTGCCCGAAACCTCTGAACCCGCCAAAGAACCTGCCATGGAAAAGCAGTGGCACAAGGAACATTTCTTTTGCACAGTGCAGATGTTTTATGTAGGTCTTCTGTCTGATGATGCCTCAAGGTCCACTGTGACGGCATCTCCCTTGGGGGTCTGCTCCTCCTCCTCCTGCTGCTGCCCAAAACCTCCGAACCCGCCAAAGAACCTGCCATGGAAGGGCAGTGGCACAAGGAGCATATTTGAGGCGCCTCAAAAGACAAAACCTCCGAACCCGCCAAAGAACCTGCCATGGAAAAGGAATGGCACAAGGAGCATTCACAGTACAGACAGATGTTTTATCCAGATCTTTTGGTGATGCTTCCGGGTCCACTGTGACAGCATCTCCCTTCGGAGTCTGCTCTTCCTCCTCCTGCTGCTGCCCAAAACCTCCGAACCCGCCAAAGAACCTGCCATGGGAAAGGAATGGCAAAAGGAGCATTTCATTTCACAGTGCAGAGCTTTGATACAAGACGCCTGTGTAAAAATGCCTCTTCAAGCATCGACCTCTTCCCTTGCAAAAACTTCCTTCCAAGAAAACATCTCTTGCTGGAGTGCAGGTGCTGCGAGAAGATGCCCTGACCAAAGCCCCCCAGTCCTCCGCCTTGCTGTTCATGCATGCATAGAAACACCTCCCTATTATAACACAGAAGCATCGACCTTCCGTGGCAACATTCCCTTCCAAGAAGAACATCGCTCGTTGAACATACTGTGGGAAGATGTCCTGGCCATCCCCAGCGGCTTGAGGAGCGACTTGATATGAGTGAATGTTTTAGACGTCAAAAAAATTCACTCATATCTCGTTGAACGTACTGTGAGAAGATGTCCTGGCCACCCCCAGCGGCTTGCTGCGCGCTGTGCTGCTTCACGCCCTCCTCGCCGTGCTGGTCGTAGATCCGCCGCTTCTCACCGTCCGACAGGACCTCGTATGCTGGAGGATCAAGGGGATTGTGTACGCGGGGAGCAGACACGGACGTGCAGGAAAAAGGGAATTGGGAGATTGGAACTAGGCGCAGGGAACATAGGGAGGCGCTGTCCCGTTGTGCTGCTTACGCCTTCCTATCTGTGCTGGTTGTAGATCCCCGCGACGACTGGACATTCGGACAGGGCATCAACGCAACAAAGACCGTACGGGAATCGATGTACGCAAACATGTCCTTGGTAGCTCTCCCAAGACTCGTACTGGGAGTCAGGGAACGTGAGTAAGTGGGTGGAATGGAGAGGGCAAACAGGTGATGAGGGCGGGAGAGGTTGCATTGGAACGAGGTGACAACGGCGCAGCCAGATGTGGTGACCTCATGCTAACAAACTGACGTTACACCGGGTGATGGGAGAGGGAGACCTTGCTTCAGAGACAAAGAAGACTCACCGTAGTTAAATTAACAGACTGATCGTAAAAAACTTTCCTGACTCCACTCAAATGACTCACCGTTGCCGATCTCCTGGAACCGTTTCTTTGCTTCCTCGTCTCCGGGATTCTTGTCCGGGTGGAACTTGAGCGCTAGCTTGCGGTACGCACGCTTGATCTGATCCTCGCTGGCCGATCGCGGCACCTGTACGGATTCAGCGGGACAATAACAACTTGGTTGGTAGGGCTTCATCCTCGTTGGCCGATCGCGGCACTTTCACGGGGACAGATTCCGTCGCGTCATGGATTTGATTTCTTGAGTGCATTCAATTTGAAAGGGTGGGTTGTGAAGAACTGTTAATGGAGCATAACTAACTTTGATTCCCGAATTCGTGTGTTCGATGGTTTTCGACAAACACAATCACTCCGTATCATCGTTGTGATACTCTTAGATATTCTCTGTCCTTGGAAGGTTAACAAGATTTCGTTTGAGGACTCCTCCGCGATCGTGCAGCCTCGCTGCTAGAACGATGGATCATACAACCTTCGGACAAAAGTACCACCTTTATTTGTTCGTTACGCTTACTTGAAGGATGTCGTAGTAGTTGCGACTGCGCCGTCGAAGTCATCAGGAGCAATGCGTCCAGTTGCGCGATTTGCCACCGGGCAATGCGATCCATGGGAATACACAGAATTCGTTAGCTTAAAAAGAAATCAGAGAAATGGATGGCGCATGAAGGAGCGAGTTCAAATGCAAGGGCAGGTAATCAACGATTTTAAGAATCTCAAGCAGAAATGGTTCCCCAATTGGGACTTTGGCGCTCGCACGTGCGTGCGTTGGCCATTAGTGAAAAGTGGCACCAGGAGCAGAAGGATCAGTCACCGGCAAGACATTCAGCACGGAGCGGGTGAGGAGAGATGCAGAGCGTCTCGCCAGCCGGTGGCTATCGTGGATACTACAGTTTACAATGACACACACCTCGCACAACAGACTTGAAGAGCCAGAAGCAAGCAGCCTGCTAACAGAAGCAGTGATCCTCGAAACGAGGCCATGACGGCTTTACGACGACAACGGAAACAGAAGACCCTGTATTCGACACCTGATTTTTCTAATCTACTGCTGTCTCAGTCCCGCTGTCTCGCAAGCTGTTTCTGCCAAGGCTTGTAAAATGTCAGGCCTTGCTTGTGCTGTGGTCGTGGCTGGTCGAGATATATAATCAGACCCCTATTTCAGAGGACGCCAGTGGAACTTGGTGGTCAATTTCTGTGACCTTGTGGTATCTTGCACCGCTGGTGTGGTTGTACTTCCTCAGATCCAAGCGTGGGGTGAGTGAGTGAGACGTGTCTTGCTGAGATCACGGCTTGGAAGTCAATTCCAAGAGGTAAGTTGTAAAAATCCCCAAAAGGTGTTTCCCGCGTTTTTCAAGGCCATGTAGAACTGTTTAATTCGGTGCATTGTGGTGCAAAAAGGCTCTACGATTGAGAACCGATTTTCACCACGTGAAAACCTTCTCAATCCAGCTGACCGATTGGATGTGGCTGCTTTGTGGAGTTTCCAGGAGAAACAACTTCTGGATGACAGTGAGCTTCTAGAGATTTGCGTGGCAGCGCCACGCGGATTGGTTGATGCGAAGAATCGTGGTCCGCCATTGGTTGACGCTGTCGGAAGTCGCCATCGTGATTAGAAGGCGTAACAATAGATGCTGCGATCTCGCAGCTTCAGTCATGGTTACATTTCTATTGAATGTCGATGAATATAGCGTGGGCTATGTGCTCATAGACCATGTTTATGATAGTCCACATGCTACCCTATATTCACCAAGGAATGCTATGTTGGGTTATCCTCACTTGACTAGAATGACAAAACATGGATCGAGGTTACATGCTTCCCAATAGCATTATTCGCAACAGATGAATATTTTTTTTTCCGGCTCCATCACCGTTGCATTGTGTTACCGTGCATAGTGCGACACTCTCAAATTATGCTTGCTTTTTCCGGAAGAGGTAGTGGGAGACGATCCACTCTTGCCCCTTGGAGTAGCCGAAGAGCTCAGCCACGGCAATGAAGAATGTGCGCCAGTACACCGTCCACTTGGTCGCTGCCTCCTTGCCATACGTCTCCGCTAGGATCGGCCGGAGCTTCACAATGTTGGCGTCAAAGTTACGTAACCATGCCTCACTGTACAAACCAGACAAGAAACAAAACAGAAAGTGGGTGACAAGATGCAAAAATCCCAGTTTCGGGGGGGATGGTAACCTGTAAACATGCACACCCATATATCGTACAAATGTCTGCAAATGACTGCAACCCAGTAGAACTGACCCATTGGCATGTACAGCTGCAACATGTACCTTGCACCACCTTGCTCTCAGGTTTTCTGTCAAGTTCTAGCACCCGCGTTAGCTCACACACATATGATCGTGCAAACAAACATGCCCTCACGCTTACCTTGTGCGTTGGTAGTGCATGCCATTCAGGCACCAATGGTTGGCATGTTGAGGTCATCCTGGAAGCTCAGCAGCAGAAGCATGTCTCGCCACCAGGCATGTGCATGCACATGCACACACAGAAGAACCATGGATCCGCTCATACTTGGTCCTATGGTTGTGCTTTCCATTCAAGCATCAGTGGTTGGCAATGCTGAGGCCGTCCTGGAAGCTCAGCAGCAGCTTGTCACAAACACCAATGCACACACCTGCACACAGAGCTACCCGCATGCGCAATACTCATTCTCACCTGGTCCTTCGGTAGTGCGTGCCACTCAAGCACCAGTGAATGGCGATGCTGAGGTCATCTTGAAAGTAGAGCAGCAGCTTTTCTGCCGGCATTGTGGCAGCACACTTACCCACTCACCCACTCGTGCACCCAATCTCTCTTTCTCTCTCTCGCTCTCACCTAGTCCTCTGGTAGTGAGTCCCGTTGAGACACCAGTGGTTGGCGATGCTGAGGTCGTCCTGGAAGTAGAGCAGCAGCTTGTCGGCCGGCATTGTGCCGCCCGTGAAAAAGTATCGTGTCATCCAGTCGTCCGGGCCCGCATCCTGAAACAAAGAAAGTAAACGTGAACGGGGAGAAATTGCTGCTGAGGCAGTTGGTGATGAGGTGAGGTGAGGAGGCATCGTGGTGCATGTGAAGAGGTACTGTGTCTTCCAGTCATCCAGCCCTGGTGTATTTTGAGTTGACTCAAAATACACATGCTGCATGTGAAGAGGCACTGTGTCTTCCAGTCATCCAGCCCTGGTATATTTTGAGTCGACTCAAAATACACATGCTGCATGTGAAGAGGTACTGTGTCTTCCAGTCATCCAGCCCTGGTGTATTTTGAGTCGACTCAAAATACACATGCTGCATGTGAAGAGGTACTGTGTCTTCCAGTCATCCAGCCCTGGTGTATTTTGAGTCGACTCAAAATACACATGCTGCATGTGAAGAGGTACTGTGTCTTCCAGTCATCCAGCCCTGGTGTATTTTGAGTCGACTCAAAATACACATGCTGCATGTGAAGAGGTACTGTGTCTTCCAGTCATCCAGCCCTGCATCCTGAAGACATTGGGAAAGTATAGAAAGGACGATCATAGGAGCATTGTCATGGGGAGGCATTGTGCCGCCCGTGAAGAAGTAGTGTGTCATACAGTTGTCTGGTCCCAAATCCTGCAGATCCATAGAGCAAAGTAGATGTAATGAAACAAGCAGTTGACGGTGAAGCCGTTGGTTATGAGGAAGCATCGTGCCGCCCGTGAAGAAAGCCGTGTCATCCAATCGACGAGTCCCGTAACTTGGAGGAAACAACCTCACCCAAAAACTAAATGGGAAGGATAGAAAGAACGATTATTGAGAGGAGGAATGTAGAAATGTGAAACAGCTCATCATGAGGAGGTGCGGCATGTGAAGAAAATACCGAGTCATCCAGTCATCCAACCCTCCATCCTGAAGGAAACGTTGCGGGTGACCTCGGAAGTACCGAAATGACTTTTTATAATTCCAATGAAACGAGTTTTGAGGAGCCTTGGATATACCGTGTGCCCGGACACCTGGTCCCGCATCCTTAAACCATTGGAATCACAGAAAGGACAAAAGTAGCGACGACGAATGTTGTGAGGGTGAGTACAGCGAGGTGAAACTGTGCCGCTCGTGAAATAATACCGTGTGTCTTCCAGTAGTCCGGTCCTCCATCCTGAGGAAGAGAAAGAAATAAATGTGAAGAGTTTTCCGGTTTCGCATTATGAGGAGGCATTGTGCTGCACGTGAAGAAGCACTGTATCATCCTTTGATTCGGTCCCGCATCATTGAAACGAAGAAAACAAAAGCATTTGAATATGGAGGAAAGTCGTGGTGAAGCAGTTGTTAATGAGGAGGCATCGTGCTGCTGCTGCATGTGAAGAAGAAGCGTGTCATCCTGTAATCTGGATTGCATGCTCATCTGCACACATTTTACAGATGCTAGTACCTCCAAGTGGTATGCAAAGCCCTTGTGCGTGAAGATGTGGATGAAGAGCAGCGCCTCTATTCAGGTTGATAACTCATAATACGCATGCTACAGCTGCTGCAGTTAACCACACCTCGAAGTGGTAGGCAAAGTCCTTGTGTGTGAAGATGTGGATGAAGAGCAGTGAGACTGGTGACTCTGGAATCCACACGAAGAGAGTCCACACACATGTTATAGCTTCTCCTGATTGTACCTCGAAGTGGTAGGCGAAGTCCTTGTGAGTGAAGATGTGGATGAAGAGCAGCGCCTCCGGCTTCATCCAGGAAGCCACTTTCTTCAGCAGCAGCTGATAGTTCTTCATGTGCTGTGGGCGGTACAGGGGGGGGAGGGGAGGGCATAAATGACATGCGGATGAGTAAAACCAACTACTTGTGATAGAGAGAATGGGTTCTACTGAAGCCACCTTGTTCAGCAGCAGCTGGTAGTTCTTCATGTGCTGCATGTGGGGGAGGGAGAGGGATAAGAAAGAGGGTGTGAGTGAGGGAGACAGACATGATGTGACCAAAATGCGAAAATGCCACCTTGTTCAGCAGCAGCTGGTAGTTCTTCATGTGCTGTGGGGGAAGGGAGGGGGAGGGAGAAGGGGAGGAAAGATTAGAACGAGAGTAGAGAGACCGGGAGACATGATGAGGCCTACTGAAGCCACCTTCTTCAGCAGCAGCTGGCAGTTCTTCATGTGCTGTGGGGGGGAGAGAGGGAGGAGATAAGAAAGAAAGAGGGAGACACGATAAGAAAGAAAGAGGGAGACACGATAAGAAAGAAAGAGGGAGACACGATAAGAAAGAAAGAGGGAGACACGATAAGAAAGAAAGAGGGAGACACGATAAGAAAGAAAGAGGGAGACACGATAAGAAAGAAAGAGGGAGACACGATAAGAAAGAAAGAGGGAGACACGATAAGAAAGAAAGAGGGAGACACGATAAGAAAGAAAGAGGGAGACACGATAAGAAAGAAAGAGGGAGACACGATAAAAAAAAAAGAGGGAGACACGATAAGAAAGAAAGAGGGAGACACGATAAGAAAGAAAGAGGGAGACACGATAAGAAAGAAAGAGGGAGACACGATGAGGACTATTGCACGCACTCTGCAGCAGCAGCTGGCAACATGTGGCTGCACGCACTCTGCAGCAACAGCTGGCAACATGATGTCTTTCTCCCTCACTCACTCTCTCTCTCTCATCCCCCTCTTTCCCCTTTCATTCATTCCCCTTTCATTCATTCATGGAACATGTCCATGTCTGCTGTGGATTTTACTTTTGAGAACTCTCAAAAGTAAATTCTCAAAAGTGAGAATTCTCAAAAGTAAAACCCCTTTCATTCAGCCATGGAACATGTCCATGTCTGTTGTGATGATGTACACGTTGCTGCTCTGCTTCAGCTCTATCATCTCCCTGCCCTTCCTGCACATGCCTCCAAGCTCGGGCTGCTGCCCCGTCTTACTCACCTCGAACATCTCCACAGACACCACCACTCTATCGAAGGTGCCCTCGGCTTGAAACGTGTTCATGTCTCCCGTGATGATTCACACTCTCTCACTCCTGCCAATCAACCCTCTCCCAACCAACCCTCGGCCAAACAACCCTCCACACAGCCACACCACACCACACCTACCCCGTCTCACTCACCTCGAACATCTCAACGGACACCACTCTGTCGAAGGTGCCCTCCGCTTGAAATGTGTTCATTTCTGTCGTGACGTGATGATGCGCACGTTGGTGAATAACTCCCAATTTTCAACAATAACTGGGAGTTATTGTAGTGTAACTGGGAGCTCATCCCTACTCTTGTGTACGTCTTTCTTCCAAAGTCTAACAGGGCTACAGCTACCCCATCTTACTAACCTCGAACATCTCAACAGACAACACTCTGTCGAAGGTGCCCTCTACTTGAAACGTGTTCATGTCTGCAGTGATCATGCACACTCGATTGGCACTGTCCTTCCAAACAGCCAGTTACACAGCCACACCTACCCCACCACACCGCACTCACCTCAAACATCTCAACAAACACCACTCTGTCGAAGGTGCCCTCTGCTAGAAACGCCTACAGCTACTGTAGTGCCACACAGCTGCACCTACAGCTTACCCGTCTTACTCACCTCGAACATCTCAACAGACACCACTCTGTCGAAGGTGCCCTCTCCTTGAGACGTGTTCATATCTGCAGTGATGATTCACACTCTCCCTCTCCTGCCAACACAGCTACACCTACCCCACCACACCGCACTTACCTCAAACATCTCTACAGACACCACTCTGTCGAAGGTGCCCTCTGCTTGAAACGTATTCATGTCTGCAGTGATGACGCGCACGTTAGTGATGCCCCGCTTCCTGGCACAGGGAAAGGGGGTAGAAATAGAAAAGAGAATTTGCAAGAGACGGATAACTCGCGACTTTTGAGTCGACTCAAAAGTCAATTTGCAAGAGACGGATAATTCGCATGCTTCTGATGCCCAACTTCCCTTCACAGGACACAGAGTGCAAGGGAGACAGTTGAGACGTTAACAGGAGTTGTTAGAAGCACCCCTAAAATGCTGCTGTGATAACGCGCGCATTGCTCAGCCACGCTTCATGCTGATATGCTAATGCGCACATTGCTGATCTACGCTTCATGCTGATGTGACAATGCACACATTGCTCATCCACGCTTCATGCCAATATGATAATGCACCGGAAGAGATGGAGTGGAGTGCACCGGAAACTCCTGAGGAACGAGCATGCTGATGTGAGTGCAACGAGCATGGATTGGTTATTTCGAAGTGAGTGCAACAAGCACGGATTAGTTCGACCCACTGATGAAGGGAGAGAAACACACCTCAGCACCCAGGGACAAGCTGCCCCACTCGCAACCCACATGAGGGACAAGCTGCCCCACTCGCAACCCACATGAGGGACAAGCTGCCCCACTCGCAACCCACAGGAGGGACAAGCTGCCCCACTCGCAACCCACAGGAGGGACAAGCTGCCCCACTCGCAACCCACAGGAGGGACAAGCTGCCCCACTCGCAACCCACATGAGGGACAAGTTGCCCCACTCGCAACCCACAGGAGGGACAGAAGCAATGCTCCTCTCTCTTCTTCACCCATGTACATCAACAGGTTGCCCATCCACAACCCAGCTACGTGTATGAAGGAGTGTTCTTCGCAGGATGAGACGTCTCAAAACACTTCTTCGTACATCAACAGGTTGCCCATCCACAACCCAGCTGCAGCACCCTAGGCTGCCGCACTTGCACCCCAGCCAAGCCAAGCCCCATCTACTCATAACGGCAGCGTCTACTCACTTGCACTGGCCTTCAATGTAATCTCTCTGTGTGCTCGAATTCGACCCCCCCACGATGCGGCTGTGGGGATACTTCTCCCCCATGTACAGCGACAGGCTGCCCCACCCACCCAACAACACAGCCGCAGCACCCCCAGCTTCATGATGAAGAGAGAGAAACACAACTCACTTGCACTGGCCCTCAATGTACGCCCTCTGCGTGCTTGAGTTGGAAACCCCCACGATGCGGCTGTGAGGGTACTTCTCTCCCATGTACAGCGACAGGCTGCCCCACCCGCACCCCAGCTCCAGGATCTCCTGCCCGTCCGCCAGCTGCGCCCTCTCGCAGTACATTGCCAGCATCAGCTCCTCCGCTTCGTCAAGAGTTGTTTTGGCCGTGGGGAAGTAGCAGCAGCTGCAAGGGAGGGAAGAAACGTGGGGAGGGTGGGAGCAGGGAAAGCACGGGAGAACAGGCAGGTTGAGTGCTGCTCACTGCAATGGGAAGGGAGGAGAAAGGAGAGCGACAGGCTGCCCCACCCGCACCCCAGCTCCTCCAGGATTTCCTGCCCGTCCGCCAGCTGCGCCCTCTCGCAGCACATTTCAAGCATCGACTCTTCTGCACCGTCCAATGCGGTCTTTGCCGTAGGGATGGGATGGGAAGTAGCAGCAGCTGGTGCTAAGGAGGGGGGGATGGGATGGGACACAGAGAGGGGAGAGACCAATTTACACTTCCTGTCCTGCCCATCCGCCAGCTGCGCCCTCCCAGTACATTGCCAGCATCAGCTCCTCAGCTTCGTCCAATGCGGTCTTTGCCATAGGGAAGTAGCAGCAGCTGGTGGCAGGGGCGGGAGAACGGGGCACAGAGAGGGAAAGAGGGGAGTCAGCACCCCAGCTCCAGCACGGTCTGCCCACCAGCACCCCAGCTCCACCACAGTCTGCCCACCAGCACCCCAGCTCCAGGACGTCTTGTCCATCTACAAGCTGCGCCCTCTCGCAGTACACGGCCAACATCAGCTCCTCCTCTGCCTCATCCAATGTGGTCTTTGCCATGGGGAAGTAGCAGCAGCTGTGGGGAAGGGGCAAGGGCATGGTATGGGGCACAGAGAGGGAAGAGGGGAACCAGCAGCACGTGCCGCCCGTCCGCCACACCAGCTGAGCCCTCTCGCAGTACACGGCCAGCATCAGCTCCTCTGCCTCATCTAGGGTGGTTTTCGCAGGGGGGAAGAAGCAGCAGCTGGTGGGGTGGGGAGGCAAACGGTGAAGAGCGCGTAAGAAGAGGGAAGCGACCAATCAGCAGCACTTCCTGCGCTGCCCTGTTGCAGTAAATAGCCAGCTTTTGAGAACTCTCAAAAGCGCGTAAGAAGAGGGAAGAGGCCAGTCAGCACTTCCTGTGCCGCCCTGTTGCAGTAAATAGCCATCTGGTGCGCCCATCAGCTTCTCTGCTATATCCAATGTGGTCTTGGGGGAAAGGAAGCAGCAGCAGCAACTGGTGGCATGAGAGGTAAACGCAAGGGTACAGAGGGGAAGAGGAGGGGAAGAGGGCAATCAGCACGTCTGCCCATGCGTCAGCTGCGCCCATGCACGTCTGCCCATGCGTCAGCTGCGCCCATGCACGTCTGCCCATGCGTCAGCTGCGCCCATGCACGTCTGCCCATGCGTCAGCTGCGCCCATGCACGTCTGCCCATGCGTCAACTGCGCCCATGCACGTCTGCCCATGCGTCAACTGCGCCCATGCACGTCTGCCCATGCGTCAGCTGCACCCATGCACGTCTGCCCATGCGTCAGCTGCGCCCATGCACGTCTGCCCATGCGTCAGCTGCGCCCTCTCGCGGTTCATGGCCAACATCGGCTCCTCGGCTTCGTCTAGAGTGGTCCTGTTCATTTGTCTGTCGTCTAACTTGCACTGGGTCTCACCTGCACTGGGTCTCACCTGCACTGGATCTCACCTGTACTCAGCCGAAGCTGCACGGTGACCTGTACTCTGCTGTAGTTGCACTCGATAAAACCTGCACTGAGTCACACCTGTACTGGACCGCAATTTTTAGTCGGCTCAAAACTAGTCACACCTGTATTGGACCACATCCACACTCAGCCAAACCTGCATTCAGAGATTCTCACCTGTACTTGAGTGGCTTCCCCAGGCACAGCTGGAAGAGCTCCATGGGGACCTCGTAGTGCTGCTCTCCGTTGAGACTCACCTGCACTGGATTCACCTGCACTGGATTCACCTGCACTGGATTCACCTGCACTGGATTCACCTGCACTGGATTCACCTGCACTGGATTCACCTGCACTCAGCCTCAAAAGCTGCACTCAAGGTTCTCACCTGCACTGCACCGGGTCTCACCTGTATTTGAGTCGCTTCCCCAGGCACAGCTGGAAAAGCTCCTGTTGGGACCTCGTAGCGTTTCCCCCTTTGCCTATACAAAGCCACGCGTGCACTGAGTTTCACCTCCGCCACACCTGCACAGGTCCCACCTGCACCGGGTCCCACCTGCACCGGGTCTCACCTGCACGGTGTCTCACCTGTATTTGAGTCGCTTCCCCAGGCACAGCTGGAAGAGCTCTGTGGGGACCTCGTAGTGCTGCTCTTCGTTGAGACTCACCCGCACTGGATTCACCTGTACTCAGTTGAAGCTAACTGCACTCAAGGGGTCTTACCTGCACAGAGTCTCACGAATCTCACCTGTACTTGAGTCGCTTCCCCGGGCACAGCTGAAATAGCTCTGTGGGGACCTCGTAGTGCTGCTAGTTGGCCGCATTGAGCCGAGACTGTTCTGAGATTCACCTGCGCGCAGACGCAAAGCGCACAGGGTCTCACCTGGCTCACCTCAGCAGCACCAGATTCACCTGTTCTCAGCCAAAGCTACACTCCAAGGGTCTCACCTGCACTGAGTCTCACGACTCTCACCTGTACTTGAGTCGCTTCCCCAGGCACAGCTGGAAAAGCTCCGTGGGGACCTCGTAGTGCTGCTCGTTGGCCGCTGCCGTGCTGAGCGCGATGGGCATCGTCTTGAGAGCTGAACGGAAACAGATGAATTTGTCGGCGTGCGGGATTGATAAGAAAGGAGACATAATGAGCGCTCAAATTGTCAAAAAGTGCTTTGCGGAGCACAATAATTCATCATTTAAATCGTGCTTAGATCCATGATGAATCGAGGTCCTTCGTTCTCATAAACCAAACTACGAAACGCAGCGACGAAGCAGCAAGAGATTTCAACACCGGAAGCCCAGAGAGTCAAATGAGCGGCGAGTCGTTTTAGCAACTTCAGCAATGCGCTCAGCAGGTGGTCTCAGTGATGCGGAGGTTTCAGCAATGTACTCGCACCCTGCAAATCCGTTTTGTTTGAGATTAGTTTTGAGAATTCTCAAAACTAAGCTCAGCAGGTGGTCTCAGTGATGCGGAGGTTTCAGCAATGTACTCGCACCCTGCAAATCCGTCCACGTCCTGAAGCTGTACGCGATGTTAAAAGAGTCTTAAATCGTTCCGAGAAGCATGCGACCTCTGTTATGCACTCACACTCAGCGAATTCGACCAGGTCCCTAAGTTGTTCCTCCACCGTCTCCTTTCGCGACATTGCGATACGCTGCGACATGAGGTAACGGCAAGCTGGTCGCAGCGCGCGGTCCGGGATCACATTCGCCTCCATCGTACGCAGCCCTGCCTGCACTGCGAGATCGTACGACTGTCGCAAAATCGAGCCCATGGTTGGTCGCGCTGGTGATTTCCTTTTCGCGATCTCCAACCAGAAACAGCCGCAGCCGCTTCTTGAGGGTTCGTAAGAAATTTCCCGGAGGAAGGTACAAGCCTCTCTTATTGCTAACAGGAGCTCCTCTGGGGTACAACTGATGTACGACTAAGTACTACCGGAGACTACACAAAAGACCTGTCAGAACCAGATCAGAGCAAAGAAGCCAAACCCCAAGTGCATTCGACGAAAACGTAGAAACGGAGCGGGTTCACTGGACGGGTCGCGAAAGCTAGTTTGTAGTCGCATGTCAAAAGACAGATACGGCAGTACATAACCGTAATCAACCGTGGCAATTAGCAGTATCCAGATCGACACTCCATGAAACTAGAGGAAGTCAGGAACACGCCCTTCCAGCATGGCGCAACTTGATCAAAGAGAAGATCACCTTCGTTTAGTGAAGTGAGCCTGAAATCAACGGAGAGTGCAAGTCTGGTGGCTGGTACGGAATGAGACGAGTCTTGGTGAGTAGCTACCGTCAGCAATCACGGTTCGACGAGGCTTCGCATGCTTTCGTGGCAAGGCAGGTGGGCCTCCGGGACTTCCCAGCTTTTCCTGTGGTTGTGGTGGTGACGCGTGCGACAAGCCAGTATTTCAGTCCCACGTGGCACATGGACAGATCAATCCCCTCCACACTGGAGTCTACGATGTGCTGCACCTTATTTAACTAGCATGTATGGAAACATGGTGAGCTAGCTGTAAGTTTGTGACTGTCCTGAAGGAATACTGCGCACGGTCCCAAATCTATTTTGCTATACAATTGATGCCCAACCAGCGCACGCGAATTTGCCTTTCATCGGATGGAAACGCTGCACGCGAGGTTTTTTCCCCAGCCAGTTGCACCCTCGTTACAAGCACGTCGCGCAAGTTGCAGTGATTTTGAACCACAAGTAACGAACAGACCGCGGTCATACTGAAGAGACTGAAGTCAAAATGTCAACGGATAAGGTTACAGATCATTTATAAAGCACCTGCGAGTCCTTTTTAGCTAGCTGCGAATTGACGAAACTTACGCGAATTAGACGATACAGCTTGTACGCCCCCTTCACAAGGCAACCGGGAGGGGCTCAATCAGGCATCAGCTGTAGAACCCGTCACTCCATAACCTAGTTGTTAGCAGCTCGAGACCTAAATTTAGAGGGAAAAGAGAGCATAAACGCTAGTCTCGTTCTCAAATGCACGACGTCCCTGTAGCCCGTTGCTGTCCCACCTTCTCTCTCCACGATCCCTGCAGCTGAAAATCCAAGCGGATTAATTTTTAGACACCGGCTTATAATTGTCGCCATGAATCCCGGAGGATATAGCGGCGGTTTCGGCCCTCCTCCTAATCTACCAGATATTCCGGGCGGCGTGGCGCCTTGGGCATTTCCAGGACCTCCGCAGCAGCAAGGAAGCGCGCCGAGCCAGCGGGTTCCTGGAAACCTCGTTCCGTTGCCCAAAGCCCTTTTTGTTCCAGTACTGGATCCACCGTACCGGTTTTGTATTCCCCAAAAACGGATTGCTTCTACCGGGGATACTCAGTCGTTTCTTGAGGGGGAATCGGGTAGGTGGTTTCTAGGTTTCATCGTGGGGTTGAGCGAGTCGATTCAAGGGAAGAAGATATCAGATCCGTGCCACGTGTCGCCGACGTGTGAGAAGATTGTGGCTTTTCTCGAGACGTTGATTTCATGGGTTGACGAAATTCCGCCAAGCGAAACTTTGCTTCGATATGGTAACCCTTCTTACCGAACCTGGCAGGACCGGTTGCAGGAACGGGGCCCGAAACTCGTGGCAGATATGATTTTCCCCGAGAACCTTAAAGCAGCTGTGGGGGAGACCTTTCCGTACCTAGCTGACAGCTTCGGAAACTGGACCAGAATAGACTTCGGCACGGGTCACGAGACTAACTTCGCGGCGTGGCTGATGTGCTTAGTGCGGCTCGGCCTCCTAGTCCCTGACGACTATCAAGCGCTAGTTTCCCGCGTGTTCGTTAAATACCTCGCGTTAATGCGGAAGCTGCAGCTGACTTACTGGCTGGAACCGGCCGGATCGCACGGGGTGTGGGGCCTAGACGACTACCACTTCCTTCCTTTCATCTTCGGCTCCTCGCAACTAATTGGTCATAAATACCTCCGTCCTAAGTCCATCCTTAATCCGGACATTCTGGATAACTTCGCGGAGGAGTATCTGTATTTCTCCAGCGTGGTGTTCGTTAAGAAGGTGAAGAAGGGCCCTTTAGCGGAGCACTCGCCCATGATCAACGACATAAGCGGTGTACCGAACTGGAACAAAGTGAACAGCGGAATGCTCAAAATGTACAGAGCGGAGGTGCTAGAGAAGGTGCCGATAATGCAGCACTTTCTTTTTGGATCCATCATTCCGTGGCCAGGAACGGCTGGTGAGAGGAGGAGAATGGCAGGAGGGGAGGAAGCAGCAAGGGGAAGTCGGACTGGAGCTGGTGCAACTGTCACAGAAGCAGCAGCAACAGGAGCAGGCGGAAGCGGAACAGCTGTAGCAGGAACGGCTGTACCAGGTGTAGTTGTAACAGAATCGGCTGTAGACAGGACGGTAACAGAAGGTGCGGTAACAGTGTCAGATGAAACGAAAGCAGGTGTGTCATCAAGAGTTTGAGGAAGAAATGCAGGAAAGTGGCATATTATCAAAGAAAGGTGTTATAGCTGAGGCTTTTTGAAGCAGCTAACAGTTTTACAAAAGCTGAAAGGAAACACATTACTACGGTAGCTTAGCAATTGCGCTCTGTGTGATCTATACTTGCCCTTCCAAGTCAAGCTTTTGTATACCCAAAAAACACATGTGGTGGTCACCTTGTAGCAGAGATAAACGCAGCTCCCTGTCCATTGTGGTGACATTGATATATTTTTTTATTGAGTTTGTGTTCAGAAATAAGAATTATACTGAATGCATGTAGCGAAACATATCAGCAATATTCATCTTTCAAGCCGAATTCTCGCTAAGAAACACCTCTTTGGCTCTTCTACTTGCCAGGGGTCGACCCTTTCTGTGCTTTTGCCCCTCCCTCCTCAAACCGCACCAATAGCAATTCAAGCACACACAAACGGAACGACTACTCGTCTTGCCCAGGAGCGCCCAAAACGGCTCTCTGGGAGCGAAAAAACAACTCTACGAAGCTGCTTTACGCTCGTGTTGGGATTTGGCGGTGGATGATCGGGTGGGCCTCAGTACTGCAGTAGCAGCCAGAAACGAGTGAGCCACTCGGAGCAGGCATCGCATTGCGCAGCTTCGTGCTGAGGGAGCCTCAGGGCTCATCGGATAGGATAAGGCTGGATCAGCTGTGCTGTAGTACTCGGATGGAACCAGAAACCCAGCATTCTCAGGCTTCCGGGCTTCCATCCAGAGACTAGTCTCGACAGCCATCGCCGATCATCACGAGTCATCTTGGCCTGAGAATACACCGCAAAAATGTGCAACAATCACCGACAGGCCTTTGCAACACGGAGGGTGTCTGAGGACGACCTTTCACGGAACGGAATTACCTTTTGCGTGAAGGGATGACCGTTGGAAGCCTCGTCTCCGCAAAAGAGAGCAGCGCGGCTCGTCAACCGGCTTGTCGTAGGTCATCGCCTCCCGGCGCGTCGGCGTCCCTTCCCTTCTCCTCCTCCGTCCTTCTCTTCCGTACATTCCGGCCGGTGCGCTCCTATTTTTCCTCGTTCGTCCGTTTTTTTGGGGCTCGGCGCTCCGTCGCCCTTCGCCTACCGCCGCCGCCGGTTCGATTCAGTGCCTTCCAGTGCAACGCATCCCTTTTGAGAATTCTCAGAAGTACTTCCAGTGCAACGCATCCAGGCACCACCGTGTAAATTGATCTCGCCTGTACTCGCTGAACAGCCCGTCAAACGCGGTAGTAACGGGGAAGGAATCGTCGCTGAAACGCGGCTCGGTCACGCTCAGTCCGCCAGAAGGACAGAAGGAATCGTGGCTGAATGCGTTATCGGGGCGCCTAAGAAGCAGCTCATTCCTAAGTGTACATTGCTGATGCGAGTCAGGCCACGACCGCGCTTCTACTCTCTGCGAAAGTCTCCCACTTGGTAACAGGCGTAGTGCAGTCACGCTCGGTCGCGCTCGGTCAGCTCGGTCACGCTCGGTCCCCCAGACCGTTTTTCCGCGCCGACGTACAGTCACGCATTGCTACCGCTATGGCTTCTAATAATGAGGATGAGCATGTCGGGGATGAGGCGTCCGGGAGCCGCCACCATCATGGCTGCTGCGAGATGGGAGTGATTTCCGGCGAAAATTCGCCGGAATTTGTAACACTCGCGACGGATCGTGACGTCAAGAACCTCGAACTCGAACAGCCGAAGCAGCCAGTTTCGCAGCAGCGAGAGTCGCAGCAGCGCGTCGTCGTCCCACCTGCGAACCTTAGAGACGAGCTCGTCGACGCCTTCACTCCCATCAAGTCGCTCCTAGACATCGACGACTTGTTACACGACCATGGCGGCCCGTCGCGCGAATCCCGGCGCGAAACGCGGAGCGGATCCCGGAGCGGATTTCGGAGCGGAGGGTGCGGATCGTATCTGGAGCGCGTCAGGCGCGCGCTCTTCCACGTGTTCCCGATCCTGCAGTGGTTGTCGGAGTACCAGCTGACGTGGCTTCCGGGTGACGTGGTCGCCGGGTTCACCATTACCAGCCTCGCCATCCCCCAGGTTAGAAGCATCGCGCCCGCCATCCCTCAGGTCACATGCTAACCGCTTGATGTGTTGCACTCACCGCTAGCCCCTTGGTCAGACGTTAACCGCCCTTTGCCATTCCCCACGTCACACAGTAACAGCCTGCCGTCAGCCAGACGCTATCCGCTAACCGCTTGGTCACGCCCTAACCGTTTGGTCGGTCAGACAGTAACCGCTAACATGATCCCTTTAGACGCTAAGCTTTTTGGTCAGGTAGTCATAATTGTGAAAAAGTGTTGTGGTAGTAGATTGGGGGGGCTCTTAGTAATAGTATAGTACTAACGTGTCACCATCCTTGCTTATGATAGTTCCAATGAATATTTTCCTTTCCTTGTCCGCTCCCTACCCCCTGTCCCTCCTCTCCTCTCTACAGGACCTGGGATACGCGCAATTGGCCCACGTGCCTCCTATCAATGGCCTCTGTACGTCACTCCCTCACCCTCTCCCCTGCCGCTAACCCCCCCATATTTGTCCACTGCTGAGGCGAGTTTCACTTCTCATTGCACTCTTCACCCTCGTGATCGAGTAAACCTAAAAACACAAATCCTTGCACTCCCCCGTGCTCCTTTCTCCCGTTCCGCTCCCCCCCCCCCCCCCCCCTCCAACACTTCCTCCCCTCCCCACACCCAGACGGCAGCTTCATTCCGCCAACCGTCTACGCCATATTCGGCACATCCCGCCACATGGCCATAGCACCAGTCGCCATCGTCTCTCTCCTCATGGGAGAACTCCTCTCCACCCATTACAACCCCGACTCCCAGCCCTCCCAATACCTCCGCCTCGCCTTCACCTCCACCTTCTTCGCGGGGGTGTTTCAGCTGGCAATGGGGCTGCTGCGGCTGGGGTTTGTGGTGGACCTGCTGTGCCATCCGGTGGTTGTGGGGTTCATGGGGGGAGCGGCGGTCACGATTGGGCTGCAGCAGCTCAAGGGGCTGCTAGGGTATGCGACTTTTACCACAAAAGGGAACGTGCAGTCGGTGTTGGGCTATGTTTTCAGCAACACGTATCTGGTGAGTCTGGCACACACCTAGTGAGTCTGGCACACACCTAGTGAGTCTGGCACACACCTAGTGAGTCTGGCACACACCTAGTGAGTCTGGCACACACCTAGTGAGTCTGGCACACACCTAGTGAGTCTGGCACACACCTAGTGAGTCTGGCACACACCTGGTGAGTCTGGCACACACCTGGTGAGTCTGGCACACACCTGGTGAGTCTGGCACACACCTGGTGAGTCTGGCACACACCTGGTGAGTCGGACACACCTGGTGAGTCTGGCACATCTGGTGCTGGGATAACAAGTTCCTCCATTCCCCTCCCCTCCCTTGCCCTCCCCTCCCCTCCCCTTTCATTCCTTTCCCTCCCTCCCCTCCGTGCACAGTTCAACTGGCGTGCATTTGTCATCGGCATGGCGGTGCTTCTCTTCCTCCTCTCGCTCCGCTTCCTCGTACGCCCCGCCACTTGCCCCGCCACTTGCTCCGCCACTTGCCCCGCCACTTGCCCCGCCACTTGACCCACCACTGTTGAGTCGAGACGCATTTTGATTTGAGTAGCCATCCAATATTCCCATCCCATCCCATCCCATTCCATCCCATCCCCTTCCCTCCTTGCCCTCTGTGTGTGATACTCCCATCCCCTTTCCCTCCTCGCGCTCTGTGTGTGATACTCTCATCCACTTCCCTCCTCGCTTCTGCGTGTGCAGGCACACCGTTTCAAGCCCCACCCCAGGCTCGACAAGCCGCTCTGCTACCTCAACTGCCCACCAGAACACCAAAACTCCCTCTTCCCCTCTTCAATATTCCCCATCCATCCATCCCCTCCCCACACATGCATGCACAGGCCCACCATTTCAAGCCCCATCCGAGGCTCGGCAAGCCGCTTTTCTACCTCAACTGCCTTGGCCCGATCCTAGCAGTCACTGCCACTTCCCTCGCCGTCTACCTCCTGGGCGGCGGCAACAAACCCCCCTACAACATCCCCACCGTCAAACCGCTGCCAGCTGGCATCGCCTCGTTCGGCTCGCTGACTCAGCTCCAGCTGTCGGGCCCTGATTGCGCGGCGGCCGCGTCCATAGGGATTGTCGCGGCGCTGATTGCCCTAGCAGAAGCGACTGCGATCGCGAGGATGTTTGCGACATTGGAGGGTTACGAGGTGGATGGTAACCGCGAGATGATCGCCCTCGGCATGGCCAACATCGGAGGCTCCTTCTCCTCGACCTACGTGGTAACCGGGTCGTTTTCGCGGTCCGCTGTCAATTACAATTCCGGCGGAAAAACCGCGCTGACCAACGTGATTATGTCGGCGCTCGTTTTAGTCACGCTCGTTGCAGTCACGCCTGCATTTCAATACCTCCCTACAGCCACCCTCTCTTCGATCATCATCGTTGCTGTCGCAGGATTGGTGGATTTTACAGCCATGGCTGTTATCCTTAGAACCGACAAACTAGATTTTCTCATCACTCTAGGAACCGCATTGGGGATTCTCTCTGTCTCCATGGAAATCGGGCTCCTTATAGGCGTCCTCGTTTCAATGCTGAAGTTCTTCGTACAGGTGGCACACCCTAATCTGCCGACGCTGGGGCTTATAAAGGGTATGGGGGTGTACCGAAGTGTGGAGCAGTATGGGGATGCGGAGCAGGCGGAGGGGGTGTGGGTGATGAGGGTGGATGGACCGTTGCTCTTCCCCGGTGCGAGCTATGTGCGGCAGCAGGTGTTGAGGGCGGTGGAGAGGAGTGAAAGCAGCAACGAGAAGCGAATCACGGTGAGGGGGGACTTAGTGTGTGTGTGTGCATTTGTTTATGGGGGTATGGGGGCATGTGGGCATTCTTCGTTTAGTTGAATTAAAACCTTTCTTTTTCTACTCTACCTGTTCTTCCCTTCCCTTCCTCACGGCAGCATGTGGTGTTGGATTGCACGTCAGTGACCGACATCGACACAACAGCCATCCATGCCCTAGAAGACCTCCTTAGCATGTTGCACCGCCACCAGGTGCAGCTGGTTCTCACCAACCCAGCCACTGTGCTGCTCCGAAAGCTTGCTCTCTCGGGGTTCATGGACGAGTTGGGCGACGAGTGGCTGTTTCTCTCTATTGCAGAAGCAGTGGCGTTTTGCCAATCGGTTGCTAAGAGAGAAGGTGTGTAACATTTATTGTACACAACTACAATCCGATGCATGTTGTGTGCTGTATGTTTTTCCATGCATTGGAACCAAGTTGGTTTTCTCTTGTACCGTAATCCTTCGCATATTGAACCCCTCGGAAAGAATCCCACGGGACTCTAGCAAGAATGAGGGCCTTTTTTAACGAGTTGAAAGTGTGAAGATGATCCCCCTTTAGGGGTAATCATTTTGGATTTCCCTCTTTTTGCATAGCGCTTTGTTCAAACGCGTTTCTTTTACAAGTTGCGCATCAGATCATAGTGAAAACACTTCGAATTCTGACAGATTCAGCCGGTCAGAGTCGAAATCTGACACATCTGACACGTGCAGCGCGTCAGGTCAAAATATACAAAAATTCGCTTTTCATAAAACCCCCCATCACAAGCTTGTATGATCTGCATACAATTGCTTCGACAGGGGATAAAGCGTTGTAGAGGGTGTATAAAACTCGAGTACATCATGGTTGTTTTCAAGCTCAAGATTCTTAAACTTGAAAGAAGCTGAGCTACCCTACTAGTTTTGAAAGAACCCTACTTGGCGATGCCAAACTTCCATTCATAATGTCTACCCTACACTTCGAGAAAATTCCCCATGCCCCCATGTTGTCTATGCCGGAGATTACGGTACCTAACCTAACATGGCTAAAACATGTGTGCATGAGCACATAGAGAAAGTCAGAGCAGGGACCCATAACTAACACTGCTGCTACCTTACTTCGTCGACACTGTACCATAGTACCATTGTCAACTGCTGCTTGTCCCTGGTTGGGCTTCATCCCACGGTCCTTTAATAAACTGCTTCTCCTTGTGCATGTACACAAGTACAGTAGAAAAAAACGAATGAATCTATACTACCGGTACCTGTTCCCCTTCTTTCCACGCACCTCTGCTGCTGCGGCTTTTTCCATGAAATGATCCCTCTGTCAACTGCTGCTAGTCCCTGGTTGTGCTTCATCCCACGGCCCTTTGATGAATTGCTTCTCCTTGTGCATGTACACAAAAAGAAGTGGAAACACGTAGGTTACCGCTGCCGCAGCCACCACCACCACCACTGCAAACCCCTTATGCCACGCCATCAGCACCGCCAGAGCCACCGCTTTCATCCCCCATACAAGCACCCGATGCGTTTGCGAATTAGCGCGCCGCCAGTGGTGCAGCAGTGACGGCAGCAGGCTGAAAACGCTAAGAGCCAGCCACATAAACGCGTAAACTTGCGCAGTTGTGCTAAGCCGAGAAGCCAGCAGCACCGACGCGTAAATCGCAGACATTAGCGATAAATTCCCGGAAAAGGAAAGTGTAGCTGCTGTAGAGTAATTATAATCGTGAAAGAAGAGGTGTAGGAGGAAGAGGAGGGTGGTACAGGAGGCTACTGTGTCTGAACTGATAGACTGAGTGAGAGTGTGGAGGATGGGAGAAAGGAGGTAGAGACCAAACACAAAGATAGAGCAGTCGACGATCAGGCGAGGGAGGCGAGAGGCAGAGATTAGATCGAGGAGGGTGGGGGGTGGGAGGGAGGGAGATGGGGACGAGGAAGTGGAGGATGGCGGAGGGGTGGATTGTGGTGCAGATGGGTGCGCCAGCTGCTGCTGCTGCTGGTTCTGCGAATTCTGCTGCTGCTGCTGCGTCTGCTGCTGTTTCATCTGCTCCCCTTTCAAGTGCTGCTGAAGGCGTTTGTGTCTCTGAAGGCGCAAAGAGGCGAGGGAAGAGAGTAGCACACCGGCAGCGAGGGAGAGCGAGTCGAGCAGGAAGAGCGTTCGGGCGGAGAGACGGTGCGAGTCGAGGAAGAAATAGACGACCACCAGGGCTGATACCAGGAACATCTGGGGATGGGAGGAGGAAAGGAACGAAAATGGGAGGAACATGTGAGCATGGGTAGACGAACATTCCGCCTTTCAACTGCTGCTGCAGGCGTTTGTGGCGCTGCAGTCGCAGGGAGGCGAGGGAGGAGAGCAGCACACCGGCTGCAAGGGACGAGCACCGGCTGCACCGGCGAGGGAGTCGAGCAGAAAGAGCGTTCGGGCGGAGAGTGGATGGGAATCGAGGAAGAAATAGACGACCGCTAGGGCTGAGACTAGAAACACTTGAGATGGGATGGGGGAAGGGATGCAGAGCATGCATCATGTGTAAGTGAGGGACTGGGGGGGAGAGCGTTCGGGCGGAGAGGCGGTGTGAATCGAGGAAGAACTAGACGACCACGAGGGCTGATACCAGGAACATCTGAGAATAGAGAGGGGAGGGGGGAGAGGAGAAAGCGGGAAGACATCTGACAGCAGCAGGAGACGAAGGAAGGGGAGTTGAGGGTGGAGGGTGGAGGAAGAAATAGAGGACCGCCCAGGCAGAGAAGAGGAACACCCAAGAGTGGGAGGAACGAGGGAGGAACGAGGGAGGAACGAGGGAGGAACGAGGGAGGAACGAGGGAGGAACGAGGGAGGAACGAGGGAGGAACGAGGGAGGAACGAGGGAGGAACGAGGGAGGAACGAGGGAGGAACGAGGGAGGAACGAGGGAGGAACGAGGGAGGAACGAGGGAGGAACGAGGGAGGAACGAGGGAGGAACGAGGGAGGAACGAGGGAGGAACGAGGGAGGAACGAGGGAGGAACGAGGGAGGGAGGGAGGGGCGTAGAGCATGTGTGATGTGTGAGGGAATGGGAGGAACGAGGGAGGGGCGTAGAGCATGTGTGATGTGTGAGGGAATGGGAGGAAAGAGAGCACGGGCGGAGTGAGGGTGGGAGTTGAAAAAGGGATAGTAGGGAGAGAGACCAGGGCGGAGATGAGGGAGGAACATGTGGTAATGGAAGGGTAAAACGAGGACGGGGAGGGGGAGGGGGAGGGGGAGTGGGGAGAGGAGAGGAGAGGGAGGGGGGTGGGGAGGGGAGGAGAGGAGGGGTAGGGGGAAGGGGAAGGGGAGGAGCTGAAAGGGGATGGGGAGGAGGAAGGGGAGGGGGAGAAGGAAGCAACAGCTTCTAGGTTTGGAACAAGTTTGCACCTTGACCGTCCCGGCTTTCATCCTGGAAGTACTCGGATCAGTGTGGGGTGAGGGAGGGGAGGGCAGGGGAGGGGAGGGGATGGGAGGGCAGGGGAGGGGAGGGGAGGGGAGGGGAGGGGAGGGGAGGAGAGGGGGAGGGGAGGGGAGGGGAGGTTTACGCGAGTGTACCTGCAGCGTGAGCACGGACGAGTCGCGCACGAGCGACCAGTAGCGCGGCTTGACGACGCCGGCGTTGGTGCGCATGTCGGCGAGGAAGGTGCGCGGGTCCGTGTGCGTGTCGTCGAACGGCTGCCGCAGGTACAGCACCTTGCGCCACACGCGCTCGCCGCCATTTGAATCAACGCCATCAGCATCAGCTGACTCCAACGGCACCTTGCGCCACACGCGCTCGTCCGAATCAGGCTCCATAGGACCTTCCGAAGCCGTGGCGTCGCCTGCGCCGCCAGTAGAGGCCGCGGCGGCGGCGGCGTCGGTCGCGGGGCTCGTTGCGCCTGTGGCGGCGTTTTCTCTGGCGTCGGTTGCGGAAGCATTCGCGGCGACACGACTAGCGCCGCGGATTGAGGCGGGATCTAGGGGAGGTAGATCTGCCGACATCTCCTTGCGATTGATCATCAAGGCGGCGTTACTATCTGATCGGAGGGACGCTATCGCGGGAGAGGTGGTATTTGTTGGATTTATCCTATCAGCTTCGGACATCCTGTGGCACTTACGCCGAGCCTGCGCTGCAGGCTCGTATACAGACGGGTTTCGCGGAACCTCGCGGGTCTGCCGAACCTCTACTTGCTACTTGCTGAGCCTCTTTCCAGGCTTCAGAACAGAAACGAGAGAGATCCGTGTTCGCTGTCTGACATACTTCGAGGAAATGCTTCGATTCAGATACTTCCTGAAGAAGAGTTACGATCAGAGAAAAAAGACAAAAGACGTCGCCTAGCTAACAGTATCGAGGCATTTCATCACGTTGTGTCGAAACATGAGCTTGGTATCCCTAACTGTTTCTAAAGTCGAGCAGAGGCGGCTCGGAGTACTAATTTAGTTACCTCTCTTGGTTGCTACGACCAGCATCAACGGCGGTAGGTGCCCTTAGGACGCGTCACCTCATTCTAAACTGGCAGGATCGTGGCAGAATCGACGCTGAACACCGAATCTGCCACGATCGGTGTGCACATCGGTGTGCCCAACTTTGCAGATTACCGATCGTGGGGCTACACTGAGCCACAGGTGACAACATATAAAATTCGTGGGGCAAAATTGCCCAATCCCCACACTTGCACAATCGATCGCCAGCTTTTGGCACATCGATCCCGTGAGCCCTAGGTAACACCCTTATGGTGACCAGTTTACTGTACACTCTCGAAATTTCTCGAAACCTGGAAACATTGACTTTTTCCAACTCGTGAAAGCACTGTACACCCGACACACCGATCGTGTGCACGATCGATCGCCCTCCTGAAGAAAGAGGTGACGCGTCCTTACGAAAAGGGGCTTCTTCCAAGACATGTCGAAAGGTCACTCGAATGCGGTTGGGTATGAAGCTTTGCACTATGACACGGTTAGGTAGGGTTCGAGATTTTCGAGTCCTCGGCAACTGAGACCCTTGCGCAAAAGAAATGCACGGCCTCAAGGTCAGGTAGACCACCTTGTAACGAGGGGTGCATACAACGGGTTTGTAGGAGGATGGGTCTGCTCCATCTTCGCTGGGGACTGCGCCGCTTTGAGTGAGGAATAACCATTACTGCTAAATGCTGGATTTCCGGCGTCAGATAAGATTGGTTGGGGTACATAAACCTAACTTTAACTGCTGTACCCCACATGACATGCTTGGCTACAACATTTGACATGTATCACTGTGCTGATGTGATAGTATTTGCAAGTGCTTGAAATGTAAATTCTATTTTTACTCTTAAATGATCTGTGCACCGCAACAGCGTGTGATTTTGCTGACAAGTGAGTATATATATATTTTTTTTTGCACACCGCGCAAAATCGTGCGCTAGTGCTGTTGTAATAACAGATTTTATGCACTGCAAAAGCATATGATTGTGCGTGGTAGTTATTTTTTCTCATCTGAATGCTTATCTGACGCCGGAAATCCAGCATTTAGCAGTAATGGTTATTCCTCACTCAAAGCGGCGCAGTCCCCAGCGAAGATGGAGCAGACCCATCCTCCTACAAGCCCGTTGTATGCACCCCTTGTTACAAGGTGGATACAAGCCCGTTGTATCCATTCAGCTCTTGACAATACAATTACATGCTTTTGCGGTGCACAGCAGAAGGACCCCTCTCATTGTACTCTGCGCGAGTGACATGCTGGTTCTGAGAGAACACAATGCGAGCCACTATAGCCCCCCCGTACCATGAGGCGTAGCGGGCGGTGTTGTCCGGCATGTAGTCAGGTGCCTGAAGGTCCAGGAGAGCAACGTGGGGAGAGGATGTGAGAAGCAAAATTGGCGTGCTAATGAGTGACAGCAAACATTTAGATAATCAGCTTGGAAAAATGAAGCTGAATGCGTGGTGAAAACCAATGCACATGAACAACCACCCAGCCGCTCACCCCACTCACCCTACTCACCCTGCTCACCCCACTCACCCCACTCACCCCACTCACCCCACTCACCCCACTCACCCCACTCACCCCACTCACCCCACTCACCCCACTCACCCCACTCACCCCACTCACCCCACTCACCCTACTCATCTCACCCATCCCACTACCCCACTCACCCGCACAACGGTGGGCTGCAGGGAGGGAGACACGGCCATCTGCACGTCACTCTGAAACCGATCCACCAACCCTTTGAGGCATGACCCTCCCCCCACCACTGCAATGGACTCCAGAGCTGCCCGCTGCTTCCCCCCTTCCGCCCCCATCCCTCCTCCCCCCAGCCCTCCTCCCCCGCCCACCCCCCCCATCCCTCCCCCTACCCCTCCTCCTCCGCCTCCCCCTCCGCCCCCTCCCCCTCCCAGCCCCGCTGCGTCAAACACCACACTCAGAAGCTGCCGAACGATGCCGGGACCGGCCAATGGGGAGGCCTCGAGGGAGCGGGCCGAGAGAGGCGCGCTGTGAGTGAGGAGAGAGGGTCTGAAGAGGGCCTCTCCAACCTCGAATCGTTCACTGCCGAGGGTGATGCGCTGAAAGGGGAGAGGGAGGGAAGCAAGGGAGGGGAAGGGGCCCAAACCAAAAGGGAAAGGGGAAGGGGAAGGGGATGTGGCGTGTCAGGTAGTGGGTTGTGGGTGAGGAGGGAGGGTCTGAAGAAAGCCTCCCCAATGTTGAATCGTTCACTGCCAAGGGTAATGCGCTGTAATGATAGGGGGGAGTGAGAAGAAGGGGGCCAAGAGGGAAGGACATGAAACAAGTGAGAGAGGAGTGAGTTGTGGGCGAGGAGGGAGGGTTGGAAGAGGGACTCTCCAATCTCAAATCGTTCCCTGCCGAGGGTGACGCGCTGAAAACGGAAAAGGGAGGGAGGAGATAGGGCGAATGGGGAAACCGTGAGGGAGAGGAGGGAGGGCCGGAAGAGAGCCCCATTGTATTTTGAGTCGACTCAAAATACACGAGGGTCGGAAGAGAAGCGTGTTGAAATGAGTCGGCAAGGAGGGAGAGTCTGAAGGAAAGGGCCTCTGCAATCTCCAATCGCTCACTGCCGAGGGTGAAGCGCTGAAACATGGAAGTTGACTTTTGACTCGACTCAAAAGTGAAGCGCTGAAACATGGAAGTTGACTTTTGAGTCGACTCAAAAGTGAAGCGCTGAAACATGGAAGTTGACTTTTGAGTCGACTCAAAAGTGAAGCGCTGAAACATGGAAGTTGACTTTTGAGTCGACTCAAAAGTGAAGCGCTGAAACATGGAAGTTGACTTTTGAGTCGACTCAAAAGTGAAGCGCTGAAACATGGAAGTTGACTTTTGAGTCGACTCAAAAGTGAAGCGCTGAAACATGGAAGTTGACTTTTGAGTCGACTCAAAAGTGAAGCGCTGAAACATGGAAGTTGACTTTTGAGTCGACTCAAAAGTGAAGCGCTGAAACATGGAAGGGAATGGAAGCACGCAGATGGGAAAGAAAAAGGGCCCAACCCAAAAGAGATTGATATGCAGCGAGCAAGAGGAAGTGTGGTATTCAGTGAGGAGGGAGGGCCTGACAAGCGAATCTGCCATGACAGATCGTTCACTGGCGAGGGAGATGCGCTGAAATGGAAGGGGGATGCGCTGAAATGGAAGGGAGATGCGCTGAAATGGAAGGGAGATGCGCTGAAATGGAAGGGAGATGCGCTGAAATGGAAGGGAGATGCGCTGAAATGGAAGGGAGATGCGCTGAAATGGAAGGGAGATGCGCTGAAATGGAAGGGAGATGCGCTGAAATGGAAGGGAGATGCGCTGAAATGGAAGGGAGATGCGCTGAAATGGAAGGGAGATGCGCTGAAATGGAAGGGAGATGCGCTGAAATGGAAGGGAGAAAAAGACAGCGAGAAGGGCGTGAGGGAAATGGGGATGGTGTGTGGGTGAGGAGCGAGGGCTTAAATAGGGTGAGCGAGGGCTTAAATAGCGAGGGCGTAAAGCCTCAAGAGGGATGCACTGGAATGGGAAACGGGGGGGGAGGGAAGAGGGAACACTATGGGGCAAATGGGGGAAGCGTGTGGGTGAGGAGGGAGGGAGGGTGTGAAGAGAAACAGTGCAATCTCAAATCGTGAACGGGGGAAAAGCACGAGGTGGAGGGAGTGAGAGGGACGAGAGGGCCCTAAATGGGAGGGGGATGGCAACAACGAGAAGGATAAAAATGGGAGAAGAGAGTGGGGGAGAAGAAGAGAGTGGGTGAGAAGAAGAGAGTGAGGGAGAAGAGAGTGGGTGAGAAGAAGAGAGTGGGTGAGAAGAAGAGAGTGGGTGAGAAGAGAGGGTGTGATGAGGGTGTGGAGGAGGGGTGGTAAGGTAAGGGCTTCTGTAACAGTACAGAGCGAGGGTGAGTTGGAGGGCTTCTGCAATGCTCAATCGTTTCGCAAAGATAAGAAGCATAACCATGCCCGAAATAAAGCCACAATAATAATAATAAATAAAAAACTGACCTGCCCGTCCGGCAGCACAAACTCTTTCCTCTCGTCCGCAGCCCGGGCAGCTGCAAAACTATTCTCGTCCAGAGCCACCTCACAGGCTTCCTCCTTTAGCCTCTCCAACGCAGCAGCGTCCAATGAGAGGTTGCCACGTGTCACTGAATCCCCACCTGCGTCTGCTCCTCCCACCCTCTGCCTCTCCTCAAATACCAGCCGTTGGATCTTCTCCGAGAGATCGCAGCCGCCGATTGGCCAGCGGCGAGCAGAAGAGGGGACCAACGCTCCTTCCTGCACGACCGAGATATCTGGAGAGGCGGGAGAGGGGAATGGGAGGGGGGAGAAACAGAGAGGACGGAGGTTGAGAGTAGTACAGAAAGGGAATTCGACCAAGAGAAACAGTAAGTGGAGAAATGGACAAGTGGCTGGCGGCAAGACAATCCGAGAGGGGTGAGAAGTGTGAGCAGGGAATGCAGAAGGCAGGGATTGCAGAAAGCAGTCGTCCCCGTTATAAGGCAGTCGTCCCCGTTATAAGGCAGCCGTCCCCGTTATAAGGCAGCCGTCCCCGTTATAAGGCAGTCTTCCCCGTTATAAGGCAGTAGTCCCCGTTATATCCCGCTGACCTGTTTTGCCATGGCCCAGGTCAACACAGCAGCCGGAGAGGC